TTTTGAATGGAAATTTCACCAAATTTACAAATTCATTGTTGTGAACAGTTCGATTGGAATCTTTGAGCGAAAAACATGATAAGTCATTGATTCAACTTGAAGCAAAACAAAGAAACAATTTCGGAAATCAATTTCAAGTGGATTGTCCGGAGATCTCATTCGATCGGAGGCTCTTGAATCATTTTTTGACACAATGTATTCGCAGTTTTTTCACTTGAGTTTTGCAACAACTAAATGATTACAATAGCAACTACCATCGCTACCACATTTTGAACCATTGTATCTAGTGAAATAAGTTTTTTAATTGGAAAATATCTGCTTTTGTATTCAATATTTGAATTATTGAGTATTATTTTAGTACACTTATTGATGGTATTTCGAGCAAAACTCGGTCGCATACAATCGATATTTGACACTGATTTCGTATCGATTTCTATGTTCTATTGTTTATCTTTGCGACTTTTCTTTTATTTCGTTGTTATTCGAAATTGGTTTTGTTTCAAGTTTGGTTCGTTCGTTTGTGTGTAGCATTGTTATAATTAGAAATTGATGTACGGTACCAACCAAGTGGGAACACGGAACATGCACAAACATTCTTCCCGAACGCTGATTTTTGTGTGCATTCGTGATGCTCGTGAACAAGTTTGGCTCGAGCCGGATTTGTTCTCTCTTCTTCCTCCGTGAATGAAATTCACTATGCCGTGATGACGTCAAAAGGGAATCTGTGCGTTTGACAGATGGATTCATGGCATTTTAGATTTCCCATATTGAACATCATAACAATAACAAAATACGCATCAAATCCCCTGATTATTATTGAGTAAATAAAAGTTTGCGTGTGGCGCACGGCCAAAGCAGGAACGAAACAAAACATCGCATGGTTACTGTCACTGCTACGAATCAATTGATAACATTTCCGAAACATCATCGCTGTTGTTGTGATTTCGCCAGAATCTTCCGTTTTACGTCTACACGTTGTGTGTTATCGCATCTCTTTTTTTCAACTCTCATTCTTACTCGATTGCATTTCGAATAACAACAGCAACGACAATAAACAACAGAGTCAAAAAGGCGATTCGAAACATAAACAATCATTTGTGTGCCCATCACTGGCTACCACAAACCTACAAACGATTTTGAGTGGTGTCCACTCAACACAATGCATCAAGTGTACCCGGGATTTTGTAAATGGTCCGGAGATAATGGCGACATTACATAATCGAAGCGCACGAGCGATGGAAGGACAGTCAGGGTCCGGTGAAACATTTTAAATTCGATTGAAGAGTTTTTGAACGGTTCGGTTTCTTGAAGAACAGTTTACTTTTCCGTCGAAGAGGAAGAAAAAGAGGAAGAGTCAACTCGTCAAAACTTCAATTGTTGGCAACAACAATTTTTTGCATCTGAATCAATTGCATAACGGCCATCTGATTTGCGTCTGGTTCGACTGATAAGACGTGTGAACGTTGGCAATAAGTGGATGAGATTTTGATGAGACCTGCATTTACTGTTCCCTACTTAAACCGACACCTAACAACACTATCTCAGTGCAGACGTAAATGGAAAAGATTCCATACTTTCATCGCTATCTCTGTATGAGCTATTTCTGATCTGAATCGTCGACGTAATCAATATGAATTTCATAATGATTAAACGATCAAGCATATTAACGGAAGTTTCATTAAAACCAATCCAAGTTTGCAAGCCCTGAATTTCTGTGTAAATTCAATCGACAAATCCTTATCACTTCAACAACCGCGTCGTCATTTACTTCAAGTCCGTTGAATTGAATTACTTTTTGTTGTTCGGCTTGATTGTGATTGATTCGCTGTACGAACGAAAAAAAAACACTCTTTTCTATTTATAGGGAGTCCAAGTCAAGTGATATGATTATTACGATTGTTATGCGGCCCTAATACATTGCGATAATTTGTAAACAATACATTGTTTGTAGAAATGTCAAAGTAATTATTTACTCGGTTATTTTTTTTTTTTCGCTGACCAATCCGTCGTCACTAAACAAACACACATTGTGTCATTGCTATGTTTTGTCGTATCCAGCACTCAGGTTCTGTGCGTGTTTCGTTTTTCGTGCATCGAATGACGATTTAATGCAAACTAATGGTGAACTTTCCATAGATAGCCGATTTATTTCGGGGAATAAATATTGAGAGAAAAGAAAGAGAAATTTCTTAGCAAAATCAGAAAGTGGTTAGTCAAAAGTCTTTTCGTAGAAATGATAAGGAAACGATTCCTTGTGAAATTAATTTTTTATGGTTTTATTGGTTAAAATGTAATTAAATTATCGTCGAAAGTGTCCGAATTTTATTTAAAAAAAATCCAGTCTAGACATAAGATAATTTCAGAATTTCCGATGCATATCGCGATCGAAAGAACAAAAAAGAATGGTAGAAACAAGCGAAAGAGAGTGAGAGAGAGAGGTGAGGAGATAAAGTGAAAAATGGAACAAAAAAGAGATCGAGAGAATGAAAACATCGATGGAAAGAGACAGAAAGATGAAGATCGAGCATTTCTAATCACTGCGATTGACTGCAATTGTTCATAGCAGACTTTTCACATTGATTTAGATCTAATTGCGTAAGCAAATCGCGTCATCGAGTTCATGTTTCAATTGACAAATACCAGAAAATTATCAACACACATTCTAAGAATTATCTCACAATTAGCGTAAATCCAATTCCACCGAATGGAAAAGTAAATATTAGAGAAGAATAATAAAATTTATTTTAAGATCAACGGATCTATTAGATTTGTCAATACACAATGTCAATATATTCATACCACGAAATTTTTCGTGTTTGCTGCTCATAAATTGTCCGTTTATTGCATTCAATAAATGGCAACGTGATAAACTTTAAATTGAGTAAATCACACGGTTATTGCTCAACTCGTTGATGTGTTTTTTTTCCTCTCTCGCTTCAATCCAACAACGTCGTCCAATCATTCTAACTTTATCATTAAATTGACTTTAATCGCTGTGCGCTTTGCAAATAGAGAATTATTATTATTTTTTAAGCTCAAGTCACTTTTTACATGACGGTGATAACTAATGCCAGCAACGACAGCAAAGCACACAGAAAATGTCACTTCAATTGAAAAGAGAGAGGAAGACGGAGAGAGAGAAGAGAAACGAAAATGTCACTTGAATTCATTATTTCCGGAGTGTTGCAATTATACGAGGCTGACATTGAAAATAAGTGGCACAAAATGATTGTGTAGCGTCTTCAGCAGCAGAAGCAGCAGCAGCAGCAGCAGCAGCAGCGACAGCGACAACAGTGATAATTTGCTCGCTTTTGCTTTGTTCGATTCGCTGCAGGCGCTAGGGCGATAAAATGCGATAAAGGTACACGTCTCTTCTCATTAGGTACTACGTCTACCGAATGTCGGTTAATCAGTCGGCCAAGTGCATTGAACGTCCCATTCGAAAGTCATTGCGAGGTGCTTGTGCAACAGATTGTAAATTGCAGGAAAAGTTCTGCTTTTTATTCGATGGAATCGACTCGATTCCGTTTTTCCGCACTGGAATAACTGAATCATTCGAGTTGCCCAATGAATATTATCAAGTGACCTCATTACGCATTATTTTAACTCCAAAAACTGTTGTCTGGATTAGAAGAAAATGTTGTGTGTAGTGCAAGACACTGTTGTTTACATGAGTTGTACTAGTGTGACTTGAAACGGGTAATGGAATTTTTTTGCCCCATTAACACACACACACACAAAAGCTGCATTAATCAGTGTGGATCACAAGAAAGAGAGAAAAACCGTTGATTCGAATGTCTCAAGTGGTATACCATCATCAGATTTATTAGTTGATAGCATAAATATTGATAGTGCAAATTATTTTTGGAAAAAAATCCCACTTGCACACACCGTCACTCTAATCAGCATTGTCGTGTGATTTTTCCTCGTTACTCTCTAATCAGATTGTTTCTTTTTTTAATCTAACACTTTACAATTTGATAACAAACAACGATAAGTGCTGAAAGCAACAACAAACACGCGTCAAGTTGAATAAACGCTGCAGCAGCAGCAGCAGCAGGCACCTCGTCGAACACTTTATTCATTCAGTTGTCTAATTTAAAATAGCAATTCAAGTCACTGACTTTGTGTTAACATGTGAGTAAGGCAGATGGAGATGGAGAGAGAGAGAGAGAGAGCAATTTCTTTAGCAACAGCATCAAAATTGATTCATTTGAACGCATTAGAATGACATTTCGATTATAGCTGCCGCCCTTTATTTCCCTCTTGGTGCTCATGCAATTGGCGTGGCACTTGTTTGAGTGGCGCTCAAGTTCATTGGGATCAGCTTGCATGGCGCAATGTGCACAATTAGAGAGAAAAATAGAGAAACGAAAAGGAAATAGTGAGCATGAAGAACGAAAATGGGGAATGTGAACGAGAACGAGAACGAGCAGTGGCGAGCAAGTGAGCGAAGGATCTTGAAAGAAAGAAAGAGAAGGAACTAAAGTTGAAAATGACTGCGAGAGTGTATTGAATAGAGAAAAAGAGAGAGAAAAGTAGTGAAAAACAGAATAAAAGCACGGACAACAGGCAACGCCGTATGCGCGATTGAATTGAGCCAAAGTCAATTATGATCAATTACAGGCGAGACCATATGATTTCGTTACAATGCCTTGTTCGCCAAAATAGCCACCATCACTACTACCAGTGTACACTCGACGGGGAGAATTCACAAAATGTCTGAAGGATGAAAATGTGATTGGGTCTGTCAAGTGGAAACCATTTAAAAGCATCGCATCATGTTTGTTTTCTTTTTGATAGCAAAATAAAACGCTACCACTACTTATGTGTTTGTGTTGTATGTTTTTCAGCTTCAATTTCGTTTGGGCTTTTAATAATTCGACTTAAACATTCTATTAATAGCATTATTCGGTTGTACCCGGCATTTGTTGTATCAATTGAGTTTTCGAATGCTTAATTGAATTAGATGAAATCGAAATTATCGAAATTGTTCTTACCATTCCTTCTTGTAGAGTTCATGGGGGATGGCCGAGAGAACGCCAGCACCGTCACCCGTGTCATTATCACATGCGCACGCACCACGATGATTCATGCGAGACGATAATTTTTGTGCATCACGCAAAATCTACAGGTATCAACCACAAAAATGAGAATAAAATTGGTTGAAAATTGTCTTTTAAATAAATAAAGAGACAATCAATCGGATTTCAGTGAACCGTGCAAATGTAACACATGGAAAAAAGCTATTTGTGCTTGAAAATACGTCACGGTTTACGTGCATTTCCATACGAGCGAACGTGTTTTGAACCATTGTTTGGATGGTCGTAAAAGCATCAGTCGTTACATAATTGAGAGGCATTTTGAGGATTTACGAATGTGTGTGGGACGAACAGAAATGCCGCATAACTCGCTCACACTCCGCTTCATCGATGGAGAAAGGTTATAAATCGCTTTCCGACTCTTGATATAGAACGTTCTTGAATCATGTCTATGGAATAGCAGCATTTTTTCCGTGACGCATTCGAAATGGGTTTGATTGAAATCGGATTGTTTCTTTGTTGTTGTTAAATGTAATGAAAACTATATATATATATATATATAATCATCAAAGAAAAGGAAGAAATGTGCTCGAACAAACGAGTTTTCAAGTGCTAAATAAATGGGAGATGACATGGGTTTTGTCTATAGTGCCAGTACCTTGTGGCTTCGTTTTCCATCAATGGCAACAATGAAACCGACACCGCATGCTTCGTGCTCGTTCACCGGATCATAAAGTCCTTGAGCTGGCGGACCTTCCCAGTCCAGTTGTTGTTTGCGTTGGTGTTGTTGCTGCTGCTCGTATCGTTCATCGTTGCGGTTCGTAGTGTCATTGCATCGATTGCCCGTTTCCGGTGTCGAATCATAAGCTGTGCCATTATTCGGTGGTGACATCGTATTATTCCCTCTCTTTTTTTCCGCTCGCTCGCTCGCTCGGCTGGGTTTTCTCTCAACACACTTTACAACGTTGCGAATCAAACTCCTTCGAGAACTTTGTTCTTTTTTCAAGAGTCCACACACTGACACACCTTTTGAACGTACGAACAAAATAACACTAATAACAGTTAATTTTGATCAAATGAGATAATGCTTTTTTTCTTTGTTTTTTTTTTTTTTTTAATTAGATGCGTCGATGTTCAGCCAAACGATGATTGTTTCTACTGTTATTGTCTCAATGTCTATTTAGAAACTAAACCGTAACGTAGTTGGATTGTAGGATCTAATTTATTGTTTTTATTGTAACTATTGATTGATATTGGTGAAATGTTTGTGTTTTTTTATTGTTTTTTATCTTAATTTTATGCGATTATATAATTGTAATTAAAATTATAATACACTTGTGGATTATTTTCTTTTATAAGTTTTTCTGTTGTTTTAATTCATTCGATGGAAGACTCACTTTATGTATGTACGTGTGTGTGTGTGTGTTTGTTTTTCTAATTTTATCTTTGTGTGTGTGTTTATATTTTTTTCTGATGTTATTGTGTTTAGTTTTATCAGTTATCAACGTAACTTTGGCTTGCTTAAGTTCAACAAGTTTCGTACAACTTTGCTCTTGTTTCCTGCCACTCACAAGCTGCAGCCGTATAACCTGGAATGAGAATAGAGACACATTTAATGAATATTGATACCGATCGAATTAGTTGTGTTTGTGCGTGAGTGATAGAGAGAGAGGGAAGGCGAACGAGTGAGAGTGAGAGAAAGAAAGAGAAAGAGGAAGAGGCACACACAGAGAGAAAAACGATGAAAATTGACCGTTTTTCTCACCCCTGTCCAAATCTCATGGGAATTTATTTGTCGATTGATTAAATGTTTCCGTAAATTTAACAGCGATAATAATTGGGTCAAATTCCCTGTGCGTGCTTCTCTGACTACAAATGGAGATAGCTTAGTTGGCCACGACATCACGTGGTTTGACGTGTCTATCATTAAATCATCGCCGGGCTGTTGCGATGGTAGGAATCATTGTGCATATTGAATGAATTGAGCGTGCACGGAACATAGGGTGTATTTCATCAAATTAATCAAGCTCTTTCCAAGTTTATGACATAGTGTCGAACTTTTGTTCAAGCTCTACCATCTAAATATACAGTAAAATAATTTACGGGCACGACGTTAGATGGCGTTTTTTCTGGTCAAAAAAGTTGCAATATCCCTTTGGCACGGAATCCAGTCCAGCCGTGAATGAAATGTTCGCCGTTTATCGTGTTATATTTCGAATTTGTTTCACATTGAACAAAAATGGTTTTTCAACGAAACAAAATTTCTTTTCGAACGAAACCAAACCAGCGCTGCCAAATCTGTTTGGCCGAGAGAGTGCCAAAGAGATTTTATTGCAAAAAACATTCGAATTTCTTAGGAAATTGGGCAAATGGGATTTTGCCAACGTAAAGAGAGAGAAGCCAAAGCCCAGAGAAGACAAAAAAAAGAGCATTTGTAGGTAGTAGAAATGATTTTCGCGTGATCCAGCACTTATCATTTCGTTTGTGTTGCCCGGTTATTATTATCGTTTAAACTGAATGGAATAATTGTGTGCAACGAATCGTAAGCCATTTCTCGTGCTTCATTCTCTGCGTATTCACAGCTCTTATCGGTTCGTTTGTAACCATTTTTCATGTGGTTTATTTGCATTGCCGCTTTTTTTCGTTCGTTCGTTGATTCGTTCAATCGTTCGAACGGTCGGTCGTTGTTGTTGGCGGTGGCGCGGTGCTCTTGTTCGCCGTACATTGTTGTGCGATCTGGCACACAGACCCACAAATTCCTGTCTCTGAACTGCAATTAGCAATCGTACAACTCGAAAAAGTGCGAGCCGCACACACGAGCGCTCACGCCGTATAGTACACGACCGATATGATAATGCCACACGATTGTTTGTTGGATCTTTCATTTTTTTTTTTTGGCGCATTTCATATTCACGCGTCGGTATTATTGCTTTGGTGAGCACGAGAGGGATAGAGAGAGGTAGGGCAATCAAGAGCGAAAATGAACGACAAAAAGAAAAGGCGAAAAAAGAGCAAATACGAGAGTGAACAAGTGCGATGAAAGAAAGGGCGACAATAAGTATCAGAAGAGGAAAGCAATAGCTGATATCGAAACAGAGATAGCCAGTGGAGTTCGACTCAAAAGCAAGACAACCGAGAGGCAAAGGCTCTTTATTAACGCATTAAAAGTGAAGTCAGCGAACAAGATTGGCTTCCGAATGCGCTAAATTGAGACAAGTATTGTGCAAATGCACATGATCCACACGCCGTTTCGATAACATGCAATTTTCAAGTGTTTTTTTTTTGTCTTTCCACCGTCATCGTCGTCGTCGTCGTCGTTTTCTTCGATTTTGCAATGCACCAATTGATGCGATTTGTAAAACACGAATCCTTGACCATGCATTCCACAACAAGTTGCGTATATGTTTTTGTTTCTATTGTTGCGTCTCGAGGTGATTGCGTTTTGTTGCCCTTTTGGACTGTGCTGCGATAAATCAGCAAATCAAACGCAAAGTAAATTACATTTGAAATAATGACAAAAAAAAAATGGTTCGATTAAATATCAACTGTTTGACGATAAAAAAAATTATGCACACATGCGGATTATCGTGGACTTGATCGAAGCAAAATCGATAAAATGCCATTAAACAATTGCAATCAAATACAAATGTGTTTGATTTGGACATTTCGGCGTACTTCGGCACAATTTGTGTGTTTCGCAGGCAAATACGGAAAGCAGCGGGCGACGTGGGGACGAACGCAACCGCATTCACGGTACAAAGGCCAAACACACAAGTTTTTTCTTCTCCTTGTAACGGTGGCACACAATGTGCGAAATGCTATGGAAAAATTCGAACACACGTATGAAAAAACAATTATCGAATCTTTTTTATCTTTTGGTCGTAAACTTAAAGACGAATGAATATTCCGATTCGGAATTTTCAAACAGAATTTTTTTTTTCATTTGAAACGAGAGAAAAGAAATAACTTTAATAAAAATTTATAACGAAAAATTTGAATTTGAGATATCTAAAAAAAAATCATGTGACAAATTTTAGATTAAAATGTTCGAAAAGAAGTGTTGATTCACAAAAAGAATCCAGGCGGTTCAACGTTCATTAAAGAATGTTCGCTGATTTGAATGCGAAAAGTTTCTATGTGAAAAGTCTCGATTTTTCGGCAATTTATTTCCGCTTTGAGCTATTTTCTAATAACAGTTGAGCAGAAAGCTGAAATCCCTCTGTTAGAAAGAGAAGGAAATGCCAGAGAAAGAGAGAGAAATGTCAACATTCAGCATTATAAGATTAACATATTCTCGCTCTGATGGGTGTATCGAATATCAAAAAAAAGATAGAGAGAATCATACGGATGGAACGAAGCCAAAGCCGCATAAACATATTGTCTTTAAACACAGCGATAATAAATAAACTGTTTCAAAGGATTTGGTTTGAAGCAAAAAAAAAAAGTTGAGTTTGGCTCAAATCGAATGAGTCGAAAAGCAGTATAATGGTACCATTGTCCAATGGACAATGTCCATTTCCTAGTCATATTCTGGCTCATTTTGATTCGTTCAAATGCCAGAACGTGATAATTATAAATAATTGAAATCGGATCGTCGTATTGCCTGGATAGACAAAACAAAAGCTACCGAGGAAATTTTCTTTGAAGTGAAAAAAAAAACGTTGATAAATTGGTGAAAGAAAAAAAACAATTGCGGTCGATTCATCAACAAAACAGCGAAAATTCGATACGTTTATCGATATCGACGTAGCCAGATGTATTATCGCAAGTGTCAATAACAACGACAGCGAAGAAAAAACGCTATTTTTTTTATCGGTAAATACGTAGATCAAATGTGCGCGTCATGCGTTTGTCGCGTGAGCCAAATGGTTGGGCTACCTTTTTGGTTGTGTGGTTGAATTATAAGGAAGAAGAAGCAGCAGCAGCAGCAGCAGCCACCATAGCACACTTGCATATTTTGTACTGATCCGCTCATAAATAGAATCGTGTTCATCGTGACAGACACCGAAATACATGTATAAATATATCGCAAGAGTCGTTTCTGTTGTTACAGACTCAGACCCGAATTACACAATTGTTTCGGAAAGCGAGAGAGAGAGAGAGAGAGAGAGAGAGAGAGAGAGAATATTCACATACGTGTGCATGCATCGGGCGCACAACGAACGAACGAAAAAGAGAAAGAGAGATAGAGCGTTGTGCTTTTTTTTCTACTGTGCCTCGATATCGTACCGTATCGCACGAAAAGAGAGAGAAAGAACAAGAGCAAAAATAGAATCGAGAATGAACGATGAACGGATCGAAAATTGAGCGCTTGAATCGACCACTTTTTTCATTTTATTCTTTCGGCGGCGAGCACTGTGAAAAGTGAATTTGCGTATGAATGACGTGTAAAATGTTTGCAGATTCTTTGCTCTCTTTCTCATTCTTTTTCTCGGTCTCGCTAACTCGCACGCTCGTTCCTACGTTTATTATAGCAACGCAACGAAAGAATGAATTTGTCAATTTCGCACCGAACACTTGGAAAATCGTCCGAATTTTTTCGTTGCCTTATTACTTGTTCACGAAACGAGTGAACGAAAAAAGTGAAGAATCTGAAACTGAACGGAGGAGAAAATAATCGGTATAATGACATGAATGCGACATACATCTGTATGCTTCAACACTGAGTGTACACGACGAATGTGACGAAATGCGCTCAAAGTCCGAAACCCGGAGACTGGGAACGAACGAAGGAACGAACGACGACGGCGACGACGAACAAACGGACGAATATATAATTAAGAGCATTTCATTTATGTGTTTGGATATATTATGCTAAAATGTTTTAAGTGAAGGAAAAAAAAACAGCGACAGCAGCAACAACAACAACAAAATCACCGACCAGACATTCTTCTCTCGCGTTTGCTTCGTTTACATCTTTCTTTGCCCGCTCCCAAATCACGATGAATGCGCACATGAACGGTTTTATCTATTTGTATAACGTATTAGAACATTGGCTCAAATGATTCTCCGTCTCTGTTTCGCACCCCGTTGCCGTTCGTTGGAATCGGTCAGGCCCAAAACTCCATTGAGAAAATAAAATCGCAATCAATCATTTTTTTTTTATTTATCAAATCACACACTCTAATCGATCGATTCTGCATTCTTGTAATGAAAAAACCACACTTTATTAGTAATAATTAATTCCATTATAATTGAAAAATGCACTTATTTCGCTTGCAAAATTGCATCCAATCAATTAATGAGACTGAACTGTTAAAAAACACAATTGCTTTGATGCCGAGTAATTCGCGTTGAATCTGCGATCTTGCAGGTATCGAACAGTACAGCGAGGCAACACATACACACAAGGCGGAAAATATGCGGTTCACAGATTACGGACTTCTGTCACATACTGTCTTTACAAATGGCTGCTTTTCTTGTCATAATCTAAATCTCTTCCATTCTCTTGACGTTCTGGATAAAATCATTCGGCTATACAAAAATATCCACTTCAAATTCTATATTTGCTTTTGAGAGAGTTTTTTCTTTTTCTCTTTTGTTGTTCGTCATTTATTTGCGAAACATGTCTTTCTGACGACGTATTTGTGACTCTGTAGAACCATCACTTAACATATTTGCATACGGATAGCATTTAGTCGAAATATTTTTATTTCTATCGTTCACTTTGTGCGGTTCAAGACAATTTCGACATTGTTCTTTTAAAGCAACTACATGGCACTGCTGGTTTTTATCAAATATCAAATATTCTCATGTCGACATAGAAATTGATTAACCATTTCTCTTTCTATCACGCACGTTCTTTCTCTCTCTCTCTCACTCAGACTCTCTCTGGTGAATTGAATCACAAATTGAGACAATGATATAGAGAAAAAAAAGTGGAAAAATTGAGAAAATAATAATGGAGAAAACAATTTTCCAGAATGATTCAAGAAAATACAATGAAAAAGCCAGATTTGATAAATGAAGTTAAGAAATTGGGAAATTAGGCGAAATTCTATGACTTGATTTTGATTTTCAATGATTTAACAACTCTTTTCTCGATTCTTTTTTAAGTCTTTTTTTTTTCTTCTTCACCCAATTCTAGTCTTTTTCCGTTCATTTTAGCTAATTTTTTCTAGACTCTTTGCAATCTTTGTAATCGTTTATACTTCGATGCACATTCTGACACACGATTCCAAGCGCGATTCGTCGTTGCAATATGAATTTAATGAGAATTTTAATGCATTTTCGCTTGCAGTTTATATAGAGCATCCGGTTCAATCGCAACGATAGAATCGAGTTCAATAGAAATTTGTGTTTTCATAAAAAAGCAATAAATTTTTTTCCTGGGTGCGTCATGTGAGATTGCAAATAGCTCAGTGAAGTGCCTCAACCATAAATTCCGAAAGCAATTAATTATTGAATGAATTGTATGAGCTCGCAACTATCTAAAGTTGTAAAAATGAGCAATTTCCGCGAAAGGTATGAATTTTGAATTTGTCGAATTTTTATGTTTTGCTTTTGAAATTGTATTTTTTCCACGATGTTTTTTCTGAAAACAAAAACCGGTGCGCAAGTGATTCTCTTTTCGGCGGTCAATGTGGTGCAGCAAATGGCTGGCTGCAGAGAGAAAAACGGAGAGAAATTGTGTGTTTCGAGAAAGTTCGGTGCTTCATCTGGAATTTAATTGAATGGTATGAGACATCAAGAGGGCCACTTAGTGCACATTGCGCGACGACGACGAAGACAACGACAACGATGTTTCGGAAGAGAAAGATTCGTCGCCCACATGTCATTGTGCAAATGTGATGTGCTGTTGTGTCTTTGTTGTCTGTCGATCAGCGAACGCTAGCTTACATAATAATTTTCTATCTCTCTGAATGGAATTAATAACATTTTTGGCATGGAACTGGCAAAGATAGATAGAAAGGATAATGGTAAAATCATTTTGATATGGATTTATTGCGCATCGAAAATGATATTCATTTTCCATCGTTTGCTGGAGTATTTCTGGCCTGAATTGCCATTCGCTACATCCCACCATCCCTCTGTGTGTTTGTATGCCATGCAATTCAACACATCAAAGGCACTCTCGCAAAAAAGTCGTTTTCAAATTGCGAAAGAGTGAAAAATTAGCGGAAAAAAAGTTATGGCGAGTGTGTGTCATAGAAAGTTCTTGCCAGTTCGGATGCAGTTTCAAAGGCAAAAGTAATAAGTAAATGACCGATAATACTCGCACTTCTACGCTGTACCAAGGGGAATGTGACACAGACGGACAGAGTGAAAGGGGGAGAGAGTGAAAAACCGACCAGCATAGAAAATCAATTGGCGATACGCATGAAATCACAATTCGGTTCGCTATTTTGCGAACCAATTTTCGCTGTTCGCTTTTTGTTTCGTTCGGCGAAACGATATTAAAGTTTTGATGAGATTCTGTCATGTCAGCACTTCATAGTTTTCAGTGTGATAATTTACGGCCACAGTCAGATTAAAGAAAAAACATTTTTTTCACCGTACAAAACCGCCGACAAGCACTAAACCAAAAAAAAACTCCTAATCATTTGATCCAAATTCCGAGACAGACTTTAATTTGGTTAAGGTCGAAGCGGATTTTATAGCTTTGAATGAAATGAAACGAGAGAAAAATTATCACGAGTTTTTTTATGGTCGAATATTTTCTGATTCATTTTACGTTGATTTGCACTACATACCATAGGTTTTGAACCCTGAATGGCCATCGCTAATCCAATTCACAAAAGAATCGAAATGAGTCGCGTTTGGGCCGAAATGTGTCGCTATGGCTAAAGCAAATATGCCGTTGTAATGAGTACACATTACCATAAGATACACATTGAAGTCGTCACATGGCAATGTGAGTGCGTGTGAGACAGACAGAGAGAAAATGAAATTGGAATGCCCTTCGTACGCAGCATAATTCATACATTGATGCTTTGGATGCGTTCGGAATGAAATCAACGCAGAAAATCTAATTCAATGGCGTCGCCGTTTCTCGATGTTTCCGTTTTCGGGCAAGGAATTGGCGCATCTCTCATCGTTTCGTACGAAAAATCAAGAGTATGAGTGAGAAATCGAATGTGTCGAACATGAAAAGCTCATGGAAAATTGAATTTTCGTGCTTCGCGCACAATCTTTCCGATTCCCTTGCCGCTGACTCGTCTTTCGAGCATCACACACTCGAAATTTGCCGTTGAGCAATCGAACCGAATACGAAACAACAACAAAAAATTAGATGTGATAATTGTAAAACTTCTATTCGTCCTTGAATGGACCCGACCTCCTTTCGCACCAACTGTTCCTGTTGTTATCGTACATCGATTGTTTTTTGCGACGTAGATTCTCTTTATATACTTTGCCGAAAATATACACACACACACACACTCGACCAACAACAACAACAACAATCCATTCTCCAATAGAATGAATACTTCTGCTCCGTTCGCTGTTGCGAAAGAACTTAACAGTAGTTAGTGGCTTCACGACGTTTATTTTATTTTTCTAAGTATAACCGAAGCATAAGCATCGAAATATATGTAGCAAGTGAACAAAATGTTAACGACGGAAATGATTTTCTTTTGCGCGATGAAACAACGAAATTTTCCATGTGTGAGCAAAAGGAGCAGAGTGCAGAATTTTGGCTCCTAAAACTCGGTTGTAAAGTGTCGGGCGATGAAAAATGATTGTAAACTGAGACGAACGAAACTGAAAATGATGGCAGACTTAATTGATGGTGTTTTTGTGGAAAAATCCATATAAGTGTGTGCTTGTTTTTTTGGGATGTAATTCGATGATTTTGGCTGTTAGACATTTGCCTTCTCAGTTTTTCATATTTTTAAACTTACTTCAGTCGTAGTTCGTATATCAAGCAGTGGTTGTGTTGTTGACACAATCACAAATGGCTTTGAAATTTGCTGCCACTTTCAATGAGCAAATTTTTGCAAACAAAAATAAAACTCTGAAAGAAAAAACAACGACACAACTCTGAAATAAACAGAATCGCGCAAGGGGATGATATACGCCAGGCCATGATACAGACACAGACACAGACACAGGAGCAAGAGAAGAGGCCCGACATCAATAAACAATCTATTTAAAAGCCATCCAGTGAAACACGAGGGAGAGAGAGATGTGTATGGACGCTTTCAATTTTCCATTTGAAGCGCCCATAACAGAGACACATGAAACACATGCACATAGCACTAACACATACACATGTCAATCCACAATAGTATACACATCACACACACACACACACACACACACACACACAAAAGTCGAAGTTATGACGTAATAAGAAATTCTTTTCTCTTTTATCGCACCCGTAATGACGTCGATGATATGATGACGATTTTGTCCGTCTCAGCTATACTAACACCAATTCTGGCTTATTCTTCGACCACGACGATGACTACCAATTAGACCCGATTAGAAATCTGATATCACGAAACGAGAACATGTGTGAAATGATCGAAAATGTGTGAAAAAGTGGACAAAGAAAAGAAAACAACTATATGCCATTGGAAAATGTTCCAACACCGATTTCTCACTAACGTCTTTCATGTGTACCGACCACCTAGTCCATCCGATTCGAAATTTTTTTCTCGTTAATAACAAAACGAAGTACAAAACAACAACAACAAAAATAACGATGAAAACGAAATGCATTCGAAAGCGAAAAACAAGCCAACGATTACCGAAAACACAAGAAAATTTTCACCGTTTCTATTTAGTTTCTTCCTTTCTTCGCGTTGTTTCTATCTCTCTTTTGGATTCGTAAGCAGAAAAAAGAAACAGAATTCTATAAACGAAATACCGTTAATAAGCACATACGCTGTATTTGCGCTGTTCAACTGATTTTCATAACTGGGTTGTTGTTTTTTTTTTCTTCTATCTATTTTTCTGATAATGTTGATTTGTCCCAACTGATTTTTTTTTTTTTCAATTAACATGTGCATGATTATGAATAAATACACTTCTGGGATGTGTGTTCTATTCTCGTTCACCACCACCACCACCACCACCACAAGCGTTTTTTTTTTACTGACTCTATCTTCTGGTCTATATCTCAGCCGTATGCACGAGCATTAAATTTGTACACGCGGATTCGACGTAAAACATGAATTGAAAATTTGAATTGATTCTAATTTCGGTGGTGCTTGAAAAATGTAAATAATCTATGAAGAATACTAAATCAAAGGTCGACAACTGTTTCAAACAATTTCGATTACTTTCTCACTCGCAACAACAGAACAGAATTTTTTTTTTTCTTTCTCGCATGATTTTGTTCTCGATGTTCCTCACACTCACTCGCTCTCTCTGCGTGTGAAAATGTGTGTCTGAAACATTGACTCCGCACTCTCAACTATCAAAATTGATGACAACAAATAAAAATATGTAATTACTTTTCTATTAATGAAGATGGTTGAATAGAACTCGTTATAATTCGTTAAAACTTGAGTGATTTCTTTTCTTTTCTATATATTCGTATGTAATATGTATGTATGTTTTTTTTGTTTCTTCTTCTTCTTCTGTAAGGTATTGAATATTCGTTAGAATTTCACGCACAAGAGAATTCACAATTTGAACTGAACTCGTTGCTGGCTCTATGAAAACTGATTCTCGTCGGGTAGACGCATGAAAGGAAGGAAAAAAAATTTCTTTTTCATTCGGTCGGTTTGTGCTCGTTGTACTGCTGCTGCTGCTGCTGTTGCTGCTGCTGTTGCTGCTGCTGCTGGTGCTGCTGTCGCTGCTTATGTGTCTCAAGTTATGGTGTGTGTGTGCATGACGGTCTCTCTCTCATGCTGATACTGCTGTATGCCAAATCGAGTTATCGATCGCTTTGTGCGCGCTCCCTCGCTCTTTCTCTGCCTGCATTGTACATACAATGTACATGCTTCATGCCTTCGCTCCATCTCATTTGCGTTTTTTGATTGTACGGTTGCGTTTACAGTCCCCCATACGCGTGCACATACAAATGCTCGTTTGTGTGACACAGTGCGGCCATTGTACAATAGATGTCGGTGGTGTTGTAGGATGCTCCGTTTAATGGCACACAGTTCGACACATTCAGTCGTACAATATGTGTTGAATTGCCGTCGCCACTGAATTACCACTCGGTGAAACGTCAAAATCAAACGCTTTTTTGCCTCTGTATGTGTCTGTCAACGATTCAGAACCGTATGTTCGTTGTTCATTCTACTTGTATCGAGAAGTTTCTGTTGTCACAACAAAAACGCATTCAAATCACAAACAAAACAGCACCGCTCTTTGTTTCATTTCGACAAGGCGACGAAGAAAGCAATTGTCTTTAGTGGTGTGAATTGAAAAAACAAACAGAAATTTTTATTGTGAAAATGTCTGAATCAGAAGAGCATCGATTTGATTCGGTTTTATTGGCGCTAGCCGAACAACACAAAGGTGGTGTTCCAGAGGTATGTGTCCTAAACCTTCTTTTTTTTTTCATTTTGCAAAAGCCGGACACGATTTTATTTTCATTCAATTGCGAAATTTTTTGCAGTTACTCGGTACTTTGGCTGGATTTTTAGCACGCAAAACAGACTTCTTTGTTGGTGGAAAAGACGGTGAATGGCAAACGGTAAGCATTTTTTTTTTGCGACAGTTTTAAATCCAATTGGATTTTGATGTTAAAATTGAGGTTATGCCATTCGAACATTAAGTCATTTCATTTTTTTTCGCTCTCTTTTCATTGGGATTGTTGTCCATTTGGAATGTGGGCGAACGCATTATTTGTTTGTGCGTTGTTGTTCCGTAGCTGTTGCTAGGTATTTTCGAAGAGCAAGCGAAAAAGGCACAGGACGAACATAGAAAACAACGTGCTGAACGTGAAGCCGAGGAAAAGAAACGATTAGAAGCTAAACGACGCAAAGAAGAACAATTGAAGAAGGAATCGTCGGCTATCTATGAGGTGACCGACGAAGAAGCCGCCCGACTTCAAAAGGAAATCGATGATTCAAAGTAATTGATTCGCTTTTTTTTTTATTTCGTTATCGAAGCGTTCCTTTACTAGAGACTGGTTTAAAAATCTTTTTTCCGACCGACACATGAATTATTTGTGATTTATTTAAAATTTTTATTGAATTGTATCGAAGCAGAATTTTAAATATTTCTTTTAAGGAGGTTTGAGAATTGAAATATTGATTTTTGCTTCTACTTGAAATATTCTATCAATTCAATGCCCATTCTTTAGAATCAATTTATTAATAAGACGTTTCTAACCTCATTTCAAACTCAGTCAGCATTGAGAATATCGATTGATTGAGCTGTTGCCAATTTAAAAATTGATTTTTGTTTCAATTCGTTTAATTCGAACATTTGTCTCGATGCACAGGGATAAAAAGCAAGCTGTAGCCACAATGCCAGAGTCTGAACTATCAAAACCACTCGGCGATGAAGCTGACAAAGAGGACGGTGACAAAGAAAAGGATAAATTGAAACCAAATGAAGGCAATGGCTGTAATTTAGAGCATTACAAATGGACACAAACTCTGGGCGAAGTTGAGGTATGCGAATAATATGTTCAATTCTGGATGAAAATCTGCAATTTTCATTTTAGAAGAAAAATTTTTTTTTTCGTGTCTACGAGAAAGGAATTTGCAAGAAGAACACAAAAAATAACAAACAAAAAAAAAATCAAAACAAATTTATTTAAAATGACAAGAATTTTGAGAACAAAATTCCACTGAAGATTTTTAGTTCAAAATTTGAAAAAGGCTTTCAATACAAAATAAATTTTATTTAAATTTCAAGAAAATTTTCATTCAAAAAATAATTTTCTCAAATAAAACTGTTTATTGTTGCAGTTGAAAGTGCCATTGACGATAACAGTGCGTCCACGTGATGTGACGGTGAAAATTGGCAAGAAATCTCTGTACGTCGGCCTAAAGGGACATCCAGCGATAATCGATGGTGAACTTCATGGTGAAGTGAAGACCGAAGAATCGATGTGGGTGTTGCAAGATGGTAAAGAGATTGTCATCAATTTGGAAAAATTGAAGGGCATGAATTGGTGGAATCGTCTGGTGTCCACCGATCCAGAGATTTCAACTCGCAAAATCAATCCGGAACCATCGAAATTGTCCGATTTGGAGGGTGAAACGCGTGGCCTAGTCGAAAAAATGATGTACGATCAACGGCAAAAGGAGCTTGGTCTGCCAACCAGCGAAGAGCAGAAGAAACAAGATGTTTTGAAAAAGTTCATGGAACAACATCCCGAAATGGACTTTTCCAAATGCAAATTCAACTAAACTTCATACTCATACGCTCACACATAAGTTTTCCATTTTCGAAAAAAAAAAAAAACATTCAGCCAATTTCATTAGACTGAATATGCATGAAAACCAAAAAAAAAAAACGCTACTTTCACTTATAGAAATGGCCTTTTTGATTGTGCACCAAAACACACGGAGCTTAGCTACAAAAAACCATCAATAAAAGTTCTTTTGTTACTTACATTTTGAATGAAGAAACCAATTAATCAATTGTTTGACTTTTTTGAGATTCGGACATTTTTTCCCTCAGCAGATCGACGAGTGTAGAGTGTTTTTTGGAATTGAAGACTTTTAATAACTGAGCAGTTGACAGCAGTTGGAAGCGGCGATGCGTTTGTCATTTATGGATTGAAATCATCGCACAGTCAAAAATATTTGTCCACATTTAGGCGGAATTTCGACTAGTAGAGGCGCCCAGTCCTATATTTTGCCTAGCAAATGGAGTTTCAGACGAAATACCGACTAGATTATAAGCGGAATTTCACCTGTAGCTTAAATTACTAGCAGAAATATCGGCTGAATGCGTCTTTAGCTGAAAAAACGCCCAGATGTAGACTTTTTTTCTTGCTGTGCGGAATTATTAATGGACAGTATAATAAAAGACTAAAGAAGGATTTATCCCGGCTTAAAAAATTGGTTGCATAGCGGCACTCATCACCTACACACCCATTGTACCTAATGGTCGTGTTTTCTGTCTGTCATATCATTCGATTTGTCGATATAATTGCATACTGTTAGTTCACAAGCGCATGAAATGCCAAATGGCCGATTTTTGGAAGCGGCAGAACGTTTGCTTACGCCACATATCAATGTCTATTGTTTATTGTGTTGTTGCTAAACAACGTTCACGCTGCAGCACACGTATGTGCCTGTGCCGAGCACATTTGGCTTCGTCTTCTTTGCGTTTAGTGCCTTTTATTTCTCTACTCAATTTGAATACAATGGAATTCAAACAGGAAAAAAAATTGAATTTCTATCTAGCAAATAAACTGTCACGCTATTTTCGTGCGATGCGTGGATTCCACCACCGTGGATTCGGTGTTTATTGGCTATATAAGTCATGCTTATTATGGATATCGAGCAGTTAAATTTTGGTTGTAGTTTCTATCCATTTTGATTTTCCTTTCACTCACAGTTCGTCCTCTCTGCCACCTATTTTCGAATCACGCATTTTCTATGCGATAAAATCAATTTTTAATATTTCGAAAAATATTCATTCAAAATAACAAATTCAAAGTAAATAATTTTTCCTTCAAAACAAAACAAAACAATTGACTCAAAACTTAAAGAAACGCATTAAAAAAAATTCAAAGAAAGAAATAAGCCAAATTCAAATAAAAAAGGAAGAGAAATCTCGCGCAGCCCATTTTTGGTGTGATTATCCGGTGATTTATACCAATTTGCTGTTATTTTGTTCAAAATTTGGTTTTGACTATTGTTTTCTCTACATTTTCCTCTTTTTGTCTTCTTCATCCACGGTAAGTACGAAGATATGAAGCAAACTTTGCCATACTTTATTAAAATATAACAAGAATTTTAAATACAATTAAAAAATGATACATGTCTCAAATAAAAATGAAACAATCGGTTTTCTTTCACATTAATTGAGCTTTATTTCCTAACAACAAGATGATCAGAAAATGAAATTCTTCGTTCTTATAACGATAATAATCAGAGGCAATTTAAAATCGATTTGAATGAAATAAAGGGGATGGTGTGCAAGAAAATCACTTCGACAGAAAAAAAGTGAATTCCATAGGATAATAAAAACCGATTTGATGGGTACCGACATGCAAATTGTCAATAAAAAAAAACACCAACTCAATGGAATTTTCACATTAAATTTCTGAACAGTCGATTGCGTTTTTTTTCTCTCCTCAAATCGTGTTTTTTCGTTAATACGATAGTCAAGCAATATAGTTCAGTGGTACTGGAGTGTGGAATTGGGTTAAATGTATGCCAAAGAACATCCAATGTTCACCATTGTGTGGGTGTTTTTCTCAATGAATTTTGGTTTTCAAACAGTTTTTCAACCAGGTTTTCAACGTTTAGAGTCTTAATTCAGAATTTCTTTTACTTATCTCCCTACTTGAATTTGAAAACTTTGAAGAATTCCTTCATATCCATTTCCTGAAAATGTAAAACTAAAGAAAAAACGCCAAGAATAGGGCAAGTACAAAAGTAAACAACAGCTTTGTTTGGTGTTAGACGAAATATTTTTTTTTTTTTTGTAATTTTTATTTTTTCATACAAATCAAAATGAATATTTGTTAACTCAAATATTGCATGCTTCATCTAAGAATATGAATTATTGTGTCGATCGGAATTTGGAGTACATTTTGGACAAAAAAAAAATTGAACATAATCTAAGAAAAAGAAGAAGCTGAATAAAAAATAAACTGAAGTCAAAATAAAAACAAAAAAATACGAAAGAATTCCAAAAGAATCGCAGAAAAAATGAATAATTTCTATTGAGTGTGACAACAAAAAACAGTTTAACCGATATTTTGAACGTATATCACAAGGTTTTTCTGAGCTTATTGAATCATACGTGCTATTTTGTTCAGAGTGTATTTGTGTGTGGTTTCACCATTAAACAGAATAAATGTGAGAACGAAACGAAGCAAAAAAAGGTAAGACAAAAAATTGCTCTCATTTTTGAAATGTGTTTAAAATTACAGTTCCTGATCTGGTTTTGCATTCTTTGTTGTTGTTTTTTTTGCATCTCAAATTGTGTGCGTGGTCGGAGCCAGCATCGCGACTTATTGATTAGTAATTAATATGAGAAAATTAAAATAAATATAAACGATGAGCACATTTGGTGTGTGTGTGTGTGTGTATTGTGGTAAGCGCGAGCGGTGTTTATGCCATGTTTCAAAGCGTGCGAACGTGCGTTCGATCGCTGCCAGTGCTTTTAAGTGAATATCGTGATCGAGCGTTAGTATTGGGGAATTGGTTGTTTTGAAGGTTGATTTGTTGTTGTTTTTATTGGCTGCATAGCATGTTCGCCTGGTTGCTTGCATGTAGCTCATCGATTGTTCGTACAGTTGTTTTACTATTCTCTGGTCACAAATCGACGATGATCAGCATAGTCGCGAACATCGGATGCATTTCGATCGGGTTTGATGCGTACATCGTTGGGATCCAATTGGAATTGTCCATTCCAGGTCGTTGGTAATACGGTTGGTGTTTTGTCGTATCCATAGTAATCGTTGGTTTTTGATCGATTACGATCGGGCAAAAGGTATGTGTCACCACTCTTTTGAAACTTTCCATCCCATTGCACGGGCAACACCGTCGGTTCCGTTGAGAAACCATACAAATTATTGGCACTGGAGCGATTTTGGTCGGGTTTTGGCCGATAATTACGGTATCCTTCTGGATATTTGCCATCCCATTGGGCTGGCAACACCGTTGGCTCCGTCGTATAACCGTGCAAATTGTTCGCGTTCGACTGATTGATTTGCGGATTTGGTCGGTAGTTGTGGTATCCCTCCGGATATTTACCGTCCCATTGAGCTGGAAGCACTTCGGTCTCCGTGTTGTAACCGTACAATTGGCCAGCATCCGATGCACTTTGCTTGGCTTGATTGTACTCCCGTTCGCTGAGAAATTGTTGGTTCGATTGTGGTGGCTGGCATTGTTGACGCTGTTGCTGCTGCGGTTGTTGGTATTTTTGCTGTTGATATTGCTGATGATTCTGTTGTTGTTGTTGCTGTTGTTGATAAGATTCATACTGATTTTGCGTATTTTCGCCCCGATTCTCGGCATACTCATCTTCATAGCGTTGATCATACCGTTCGTCATGCTGTTGTTGTTGAGCATACCGTTGTTGATCATGATCTTCACGCGATTCAACTCGAATGAAATGTTCCTTGCTCGACTGCGATGTCGTATTGTTGGTGGATGTTGTTGTTTTGGTCGTTGTCTCTTCGGAATGTGTCGTTGATCGGCAATCATGTTGCCCCTTGGAAATCACTTCCTTTTTACCCTCTTGCCATTGCTGGCGATCGAGCGTCCCTCTGGTTGGTTTAACTAATTCATAGCCCTCTTTCAATTTTGGCTTCTCCGACACAAACCGTCCATCCCAACCGCCAATTTTAATCGGAATATCGTCTTGCTTACGTCTCAACGACATGTTTTCTTCTTTTTATTTTCAATACCTTAAAATTTAACGGAAAATATTCGAATAAATTCACTGTTTAGGCACACAACTAATAACTCAGAATAAATACTAAAAAAAAAAAAAAACAATCAATCGATTTCAAGTTCAAATTTTATTGGACAGAAATAAGCGTTTGTCTCTCCGTTCGCACGAATTTGCAACTCGATCGCTAAAAATCAACTAACGAAATGTAGACGAGTTAAGTTTTCTAAGATATTTTAGCGCTAAATCAAACAATTACGGCGACAAAACCGCACGGATATACATTACACATACGTATATATGTACGTCGTAAGCCTTTTGTGAAGAAATTTCATTGTTTGTGTGTGATTTTTCTTTTCTTTCATTTCGACTGGGATTTGATGTGATTTTGTGTGTGTGAGAGAGAGAAAGAGATATGGCGAGATCGAGTGCTATTCGGCGGGAGTAGGAGTTGAATCGTTGAAACACCTACGTTCGGGTTGCTTTTGAATAGCTGAACAGAAATACAAGCTTTATGAAAAATCCACCATAACCGACAATTTAAATGATGATGACGACGACGACGACGACCATCGCCAATAACAAACGATAATAAACGATTCGAAAAACAACGCTCAAAAAAGAGACAAACATCTCCGCGAACAATCTCGAATAAAAAAACGGAACACTTTGTTGACTTTGTGACCATAAACAGGCAATTTGTTAATGTGATGCGTGATTCTCTCTCTATTCACTTCTCGAATTCAATCGAAAATCCATACCTGAATCTAGCTCTATCTCTGGTTCGACTCTGGGCTAGCGCACACTCACTACGAATCGCAAACGTTCAACGGCGAAATGTGCTGGAAAACTGAAAATAATGCAAAATAGCGCGGCGAATTTATAATCATATTTTTCAATATCAATTTCTGGTTTCGAACGCCGCCGCGGTCGCCATCGCAACCGGCGATGACATCGATATTGACACTGTATCTGTGCCGTGGTGCAGCCGATGATTTTTTTCTTCTGCATTTTCGGTTGAATGTGAAAAAATTTACGTGTTGAACTTAGTTGACATTGTTTATGAGTTGATGCACTTCAGGGGCATTCATAGTACAAGGTGAAAAAAAGGTGTTGCAAAAATGTTCTCGTGAATCATGCGTTCCCAAATTCGCGACAAATTCGTAACATATGTGTCCTCTCTTCGTCGGTGCAATTCCGATGGAAATGCGCTCAATGAGCGCTGTTCAATGCTATTTACGTTCAATGCAAAAGGGCTCATTCAATCAGCCTCATTGCACATTTATTATCTCCTTTCGAAAATAAATCAACGCATTTAAAGCGAAAAAAAAACTACGTTTAACAACTAATTTAAATTCATTGACCAAAAATAGCGAACCGTATCGATTTTTTGGCCGAAGTTCGTCGTTGTTTTTTTTTCAACTCTTTCTTCTTCTTACTTGTTTTCTCTTTTTACTCGAATCGGTCGGGAAATTCGACCAACACCATTCAGTTGATGAAACAAGTTGATGGCAGCATCAACACATACCCATGAATCACATTGCATTTTCATTTCATATTCCAATGAAAAAAACGCAGCAACTGAACTGCTAGTGAATTTGCGCTTTCGAACAAAGTCGATGCAACAGCGACAGAGAAAAAAAAACAACACCAGCAGAGCAGAATAAAAAAAAAGCAAATTAAAAATGATGTCATCCACGACAAATATGGTAATGTCTGCAGATCTTGACTTTTCTCTTTGTGCATTCATATAAATTCAACAGTGCACATTATTCATTGAGTGCATTTTTCGTAATGTGAATATTAGCTTGGGCTACGCTACTGCTTTACATTCTTGATTCAATCGAAGAGAAACAAAAAATTCGCATATGACGAACGATGAAAAAAGAACGCGTCGAACGTAGCAGAAAAAGGAAAATCAACTCCGTTCAGTTAGAGCGAGAAAAAAGACGCGACCACATGAATCTCAACCGATTCATTTAAAATAAAAACCATCAAAGTGTTACACTATTTAAGTGACTCGATTACAGTTTTTTTTTTCAGCTGCTGCTGCTGTTGCTGTTGTTGTTGTAGAAAATTGTCTCAATGAGATAATTTAGTTAATTGGATGCGCAATTCAGTTGTTGCATTTATGCGCACTTAATTATCAAGCGCATAAATAGCTTTGTTTGAGTTGAGTGTGATGATAAAAGTGCGACATTTTTCTCATCTCCTATAGACAAAATGTGTGATGTGCACACGCATCGCATTTCAAATTGGTCGCGCTATAATTTCCAATTGCTCAGTCGACGCTCGTTTCGATTTTTTTTTTTTGCCTGCGTTAGCCTTCGAATTTTTCGTCGAATTCATTGAGCGAGCGGTTTTCGACCATTTTGGAAATTCTACATTGCATTCTGGCTGACCTACACAGCGAGCTCTCGCTCTCTCTCTCTCTCTCGAACTGTACGTCGACACCGAAAATATCATTGAACATTGTTTTTTTTCCGTGCGGTTTTCATTCGAATTTAAATTCAGACTTTTTGTTCCTGTTTTTTTTTTCTTCTGTCATCTGTTGCTCGCCATTCGAAAGAAAACCTCCACGCATTTCAGACTTCAGACTCATTGCATGTTCAAAGGAGTTTGTCAAAACTTCAATGCAAATTCAAATTCATTCGAAACAACTCCAATCATCGTTTGTTTTTTTTTTTTGTCGGTTGTTTGATGACGACGAATTGATTTGTCACTTTTAGCTATAACCAGGCTAACAATTTGTGCCCGCTTTGGGCATTTGAATACGCTGAAATTGCTCATTTCAATTCGATCTGAATTTCCGATTACAAATTCAGCCGACCAACGTAGAAAAATCATGTGTATGATTGTGGAACATTGCCTTTCGATGTTGTTACTTTGGCCATTTGAACGCGTTGTTCGAAGAATTTTTGTGCAACATTACCGATTCCATGCGAGTTTAACGAAATTCAAAGGTTTTTCTTGTTTTGGTCACAAACAACAATCTTTTCGTGCTTCTAATTCGTGTCAAAACAGAATTTTATGCCAGCAACCGATCACATCACGGTTTTGAACTGGATGAATCGAACGATCGAAAATAAATTGCTGCGTCACACCGAAATGTGTACACATGAACACCAGAAGACGGCTCAATCCATTTTTGGCGATACTTTTTTTTTATAGCGCAATCCTCTTTGATGGGACATATTGTGTGTGTGTGCGGCTTTTTGGCAAGCTTTGGAGCAATGAACATCTTCTTCATATCTCAAACATTCATCTCGTCTTATGATCGCATTGCGTTCTTTACGTAGGAAACTCTTTATTGCTTTAACTTAGGTTAGAATTAAGAAAAATTCCACTTATTATTTGGGTAGGCTTCGTTTTTTTTTTTTGATATTTCAATGGCTCTTTGGTTTTCATTTCTTTTTTTGGTTTCATTTTATTCCATTTCGGTTTCCTGCTCTCAATTTTTGCACATAAATTTCAATTGATTTTTAATATTGATCTTTTTGGTGCTAGTAGAACATAAATCTCAATTGAACTGCTGAGGATATTCGTTGGACATTCTCTCTGAGTTCCACCACATGGAATGATACGTGTGACGGCATATTTTCACAAGGAAATTCATTCCCAGTGCGCCGAGCACTAGCTACATGTAATAACGTATGGTTTCTAATATTCGGATACGTTCGCTCTATGTATAGCAAGTGCACGGCGCACTGAGAACGAAGTTCCATGTGAAAATATGCCGTCACACGTATCATTCCATGTGATGAAACTCAGAGAGAATGTCCAACGAATATTCTCAGCAGTTCAATTGTCGTGCGTCAATCGCTAACTAAATGATATAAATTAAGCGACGAAAGCTGCAAAATCGTTGGCGATTCCTCAAATAAGCTGTAGAAGGCTCGATTGAGCAGCAGTCAACTGCTGAGGCTCAGCTGCCCAAACTCATTTTGCGTAAGACCCATCGAAGAGTTAAACCAACGCCGTTGGTCCAACGGATTCATCATTTCGCGATTAATGGGTTCGTTGGTATTGCAAGTGATGATTTTTTTTGGGGTTTGTCTTGAAGCTATACAATTTGAAATCAGATAAAAAAAAGATTTCACTTCAACACAACACAAAAAAAGATCATTCGAACACTTCAATTTCAAACCGACTTCATTTCGCGCATTCTGCTTTTGCCAATAAATTTTCCATCCGAAAAGTGTGATGGATGAAGTGAATAAAATGTTTTAATACTTGTTCAATTTTAACCATTTTATTGCTCTGTTATATGGTTGAAATGTGTTTTCGTGGCAAAAATGCACAAATCTTGTGCGTCGAAACGCGGCGAAAAAAAAGTGTTTAACCCAAAAATAAAAGTAGTTTTATACCAAATACGTATACACGATTCCATCGTCTTCACAGCTTGATCGTGATTGTTTTTTTTTTCGACTTCTCTCTTTTAATTCTCTCTTTTTTCAATAAGTTTGACTTGCCGTCGGTCGACGACGTTCACTGAGAAATAGTTCCAGAAAAAATGGCGACGAAAAAAATGGGACCAAAGCAAATGAATAAATTAAACAGAAAAAGAGAGAGAGAGAGAAAACAATCAATGGTCGCGTACATTCACTGTAAGTCATATCTCTTGTCGATGGCTAAAAACAGAAAACCGAAGAAAAATTACTTGTCAACCCATATGCAGACATACCGAGCCATCATCCAAATATAGACATTTTTCAAGCAAGAAGAATAAACATACACGATACGGTTCAAATTTGTGTTTTGCTGCTGCTTGAGAGAGAGAGAGAAATGCAAGCGCTGATTTGGTTTTTATCTCTTGCAAAAAGAAACGAAAGACTTTCTCAACAAATAAAAATCCATTAAGGAAATCCTTCGATGTTTCTGTTCATGTGAACGACATTTTTGTTCGGTTTGTTTGATTCTGTCTTGATTTCTTTGCTCGAAACAAATTAAACGAATTTTTTTCGCTTCGTCGTTCAAGAGCGATTTTTTCGCTCCGTTCCTCAAGCAACTTTTTCTCGCCTTTCCGAATTTTCTTCCATTGTTGGTCAGAAGCGCCGTTTTTGGCCTTCTTTTCAGCACGAAGACTTTTTCCACATTCAAAAAAAAATGATATTGTTTCATTGTTTTAAAAAATTGTTTCGATTGTCCGTTGAATCAATCGATATATTTAATTGAATTACGTCGGCTGCAGCTATGCCAACGATGACGGCGACGGCAGTGACGACTGAGACGATGACGAGTCATATCGATGAAATGTGCAATTTATGACCGACCGATTTGCAATTAAAATGAACTTTCAGCTATTAAAACATGTTCTTCTAGTGAAAGAGGCAAGGTTTTCTCGGAGTGTGTTGAGTCGGTTTGTGTGGTGACAGAAAAGGCCATAGATTAAGCATTTGTTTGAATTGTGTGCACCCACGCAATCGCATTGATCAGACCAGAGAGAAACAGATGAATCATAACGAGTGCAAAGTCGACTTAATGCACTACCTTCTACTTTTTCCCCCTCTATCTCACTTTGTGCGAGTGAGGAGAGATCGTGTTTGCATTCAAAATGGTTAGAAAAGAAAGAAAAGCATTGTCGAAGCGAGCAACCAAACGAGGAAATAGAGTCAAACGTATTTATAGTTATGAATCAATTCATAGTCATCGGTTTGGTTGAATTGAGTGGGCATCATCGCAACTAAACTGCCGCTCTCTCACTCTCCCTCACTTCACGCATAATCATTGATGCGAGATCTAAATACGGTGGCGATGCCGACTGACAAACACTTAGCAATTCCAATTTTGTTCACTATTTTCATTTACTTCGTCAGTTCGTTTCTTGTTTTCGGTTTTTGTCATTTTTTTTTCACTCGCCGTGAGTGCAACAGCACACCCCAATGATGCTCCCAGAAAACACGCACACACATGAATTGGAATGAGAAACCACATATTATTTCATTTCCAACATTTGGAGACCATTCTATCAATTAGACGATTAAATTGCCGCCGTACTCGCCTGTATGACATAAGCCATGATTCCAAAAACACATTTGTTGTATGATTTGTTGGTCGTTCATTCCATACGGCTGCGTGCTGCTAATTTATGACGAGATGCGAGAAAATCAAATCCAATCGAAATATGGATTTGAGACACACAGAGAGCACCAAACGAATGAGTGCATTGAGTCGAGTAATGAAAAGTGGCATTGCCATAAAATCTAAATTATGTAAAATGAATTAAAACCGTATTTTTCGTTCCGAACTCAAAGCCACTACACCAAGATTCGCTTATCACATTCGTTCGACTTTGGCTGATTGAATTGAATGCAAACCGTTTTAATTCACCACACTCATGTCAAATTGAAACCAAATCGCTCAAATGAAAACCAAACTCAGTGAGATGAAAATCGTCTGAAATAAGCAATAAAAGTCCCAGGCTGAGACTCCAAGCTAATATATCAAAGTGTCTTTGACAAAGACCAAACTCTCAAGAACAAAAAAATGTCTCGGATACGAAAAAGATCTTTTTTTTCTAAAATCAACGGCCACATTTGCAATGAATTGAGAGACAAGAAAAATCGGCATTTTCCAATTCAGTATTGTCACGTAGCCCAAAAGTAGCTTCGATTCAGTTCCATATTCATTATTGCAGATCCAGTAAGAATGTCTGCGTGTGATATGTGTAGATTGTCGCTAGTGAAAAACAAACAAAACGCGATTGGCACATGTTTCAAAAATGTTGAAAAAAATGGTCCACGGTGCGTCTTATGTCATGTGATTTAGCGAATAATGTACAATTAAATGGAAAATAGTCGGCATATCATCCATTGCGACGTAACATTTTGATAAAATGCATTAGATTAGGGCATAAATAAACATACACAACGGTTTCGCAACTGTTTTGTTTTCCGTTCAAAACCTTCGCAACAAGTCGATTCGCTCGCGGCACGCTACACTCACACCAATTGATTAGCAAGTTTCACCTTTCTCATTCGAACAACGAGATAGTGAGAGAAAGAGAGATCGCATATCAATACAGATTCGGTACGGAATCGAAATAAACACGATTCGATTCAGAAAGACTCATACAGTCACCCTCAGATCGAATGTATTGGTTTAACCAATGTCGTTCCCAAACGAAAAAAAAAATTCAAATCGATCGATTCCAAGCCATTTTCCTCTAATCAATTTTTAACTACGGCCCAATGCGACACTATTAAATGATGTACAGAGCATTGCACGACAGTACGCACCAAATCCATTGCGTACAGATCGAGTTTTTATTATTAGATTAAACATGTGTACATGTAAACATTTGCGCTAAATGGGAACTCTCTCATGGCACATGTTTCGAGAAAATCCACCGTTCCGCACTGCTCTACACGAATGTGTGTAATCGAAGTGTTTGATCGGCTGGTTGAGTTAGTTTGTGTGTATGAGTGTGTGGTTAGCGGCTAAGAAACGCGCTTCGCACACACAACACAAAATCGAACACCGTACTCATATCGGTCATCGGTTGCGGTTCCAATGCGTGTAACTTTTTCGATATCGGAATTCATACACATATTCATTCGGCCTACGTTTTCTCAATCGCAAACACAGTGTGCGCGCACGATCCGAAGCGGTGTTCATGCCAAAATGCTTTATGGCGATTTCGATGTATGGAATCAAGAGTTGAAGTTCCAGCGATGACGACAGAAAAAAAAACACCGAAAAGAGAAACACTCGAAACGAAACTGTTTGTATGTGAGAATGCGAACAATAAATCGTTGCTTCATTCGAATTATTCGTATAATTGGTATTGTTGTTGTTATGGTGGCAGCGGCGGTTCTGGTGAGCATGTGTGTGCTCACTCAACACACAACCGTGAATGTAGGTGGCTAACATGCTCCCACCTGCTTGTTTTCTATCTCATTATTCGGCACACACTTAAACAAACGACGACGATAGCAGCAGCAGCAGCGGCCGCAGCACCAACAACCAAACGAGCAATATTGTTAATCGAAGTGTACTTTATTATTTCTGGCTCTCTCTCTGTTCTTTCGATATATTATTCCCCACTATGTACATATGATAGCTCTAAAAAGAACAACAACACCAAATGAACGAATGAGCGCGAAACGCGCGCAATGCGTCAAACCGAGTACGAAAAGAACTCAAGCCTGAATCGAACAATAAAATGAAATGAACAAAAAAAAAAAACATAAAATTTAACAACAACATAGCCAAAGCAGCGATACATCAAAAACCAAAAAGAAGAAGACGAATGAATGAGCAGCAGCAGCAGAGGAAAAAAACACACAGCACACAAAATATATTCACACAACATCATTGGCGTGCACAACACGTAATTATGCTTTTGCAGTTAGTCGACGAGCGTTCAGTTTGTGTCGTGAAGCCGCCCGGAATGGTCGTTTCATTTTCTTCATTTTAGACATTCTTAAGTTCAATCGAAATCGAGATAAAAAAAAAAAAACAATAATCAAACCGTAAAATCGTAAACAGTTTTTCATTTCAATTTTTGTTTTAGTTGTGTTTTGTGTTAGAGCCATTTATCAATTGTTGTTCGTTCGTTGAAAAAGAAAAGAATTTATTCATTTGTTTTATTTAAATTGCAATCGGCAATTCGAAAAAGTGAGTGAGATTTATTTATGAACTGATCTTCGTAATAAAATAAACACATACACATGAACAATTATTTGCATTCATCCGAATCTAATTTCCAGTTCATTATTTTTCTCCTCTCTGTTGTATTCGCTCTTATCTTACGCGGAGATTGTTCTTTTTTTGTGGCATTTCTCTGATGTCATTTTGGAATTGAATGTGCTATTTTTCTCCTTCTCTCTCTGGTTCTCACTCCCGTTTGAGGAACTAACAGGCGATGGATCCATTGAATGTGTGTGTGTGAGAAAAAAGCACAGAAATGAAAACGGCTGGATTTTCTGGATATCGTCGACTCGTCGTCTTCGTCGACGAAGTTGCTATTTCGGCATTTATTGTTTATTCATTTGCTCGATGTGTGTTTTTCGTGTTCCCGTGTTTCCGTGTCTGTGTGTATGTGTTCGATTGTTATTTTAAATGCCAAACCGTGAGTTTTTTTGTTTGGAGAGAGAGAGAGCACAAGCACGCGAAATATGCGATGTAGATACGGAGATAGATAGACAGATAGAGAGATATTGTAATGATTTTTTACTCGTTGTTTCTTTCTTGCGCTGCCTTTTGGTTCGTGAAACCAGCTAGTGAAACAAGAATCATTTCAATTGATTGATGAAACAAGAATCATTAGAGGTATTATGTCATTTGAAGGAGAAGAAAAAACTGTCTTGGAAGGAAAAAAAATCGTCTTCGGAGAAGAAAAAAATGTTCGTCTCAAAAATAGGGACCGGAGCAATGACAAAAAAAAAATAACATAATGACAATAACAGCTGCATCAATATCAAAGCGAACATTCCAATGCGAATTGCCTCTTTGCGCGTTTCTCTCTCAAGTGTCGATACTCATGCATACATTTGTATTTGTATTGTTGGTTCCATTCCCGAAATAGCGTAATCATTCACACATCGACTGATTAGTCTCAATTTGTTCGCTTATGCTAAGTGCTCATTCGATCGAACGCCGCCCCGTACGGTTCATTATTACTTCTTCGCTCTTTTTTTGCAGTGTTATTTTTTCTCTTAGCGGTGAGACGATCGACACGTATCTATCTACGAGTGCGGTTTTTATTTTTGCTCATTAATATCACTGTCTCTGTCGCTCTGCTCTTAGTGTTTATTGGCCGAATGTGCCAGTGTATGAGTATGTAAAGATCATTTTTGCATACCTAAATAAAACAAAAAAATTAACGATTCTTGCCACTCTGCTTTGACCATCATTTGTACGGAGCGATTTCGGGTTTTGCGTGTTAAGGAAGTTTCGTTCTTTTTATCTCATCGCCAAACTGCTTTTTTCGCCTACTTCACTCGTAAATATATTTATTTTTACTGGATTGTTTATTTTCTCTTTTGTCAGTCTCTCTCTTGCTCCCTCTTTTTCTCGAATTAACATCATTACGTAAGCATTATTTTGGAAGAGGTGCTCTTGCAATCGTTTTGATTCTGCCAATCAGAGAGAGAGAGAGAGAGAGAGAGAGAGAGAGAGAGAGAGAGAGAGACATTAATAACTCGCTTTAGATAAAACCGGTTGCTTTTCATATGACATTTGATGGATTTTTGACAATGCTTCCCGTTCTACTTAAGGACAAACTCACAACGCCATATGAAATTTCAAATGCATTTTGAACACAATCTCAACGGATCTATTCATCATCATTTGTTGTTGTTATTAATCATGAGTCGAAATTTCGAATGTTTCATTTCATTTCAATTTGTTTTCTCATTCTTGTTGTTGTTGTTGTTCATATCTTTAAAATATTTCTGTGTCTCTTTTTTAACCGGTTTCGTAGGTGACTCGAAGGTGTAGCTGCAGCTGTGTAATCCATATCTTTGTTCTCTATTCAAAATTATTAAATAAACTGTGATATGTGCATATGAAATCGAAAAGAAAAGAAACAAATTCCAATTTTTTTTATCTAAGTGAAACAAATATAACGAAATCAGGCGAAGGCGAAAAGAAAAGCAAACGAGAATTGAGAGAGAGTGTGTATGTTTCACAACCGGCCGAAATCGCAATAAACAAGAACAAATCGGAACAAATCGGAACAAAACAGGAATACTATTGCCATATTGCACAGCGGAAAATATAGAAACGAAAAAGTTTTTCATTTATTTATAGTTTTAGTGTGAATTGTTGTCTTCCAAACGAGAAACCGAAACAAAACGAAAGAAAAAAAAACACACACATTGCAATCGTAAAACCAAGTGTAATAATCAACATCTAAATTGAACTCTGCAATCTATCGTTTTTTTTTTTTTTTAATTTTCAATCGAAACTAAAATCGAATCTATCAAAATCGAAAACGAGTAAAACCAGCGAAAGAACCAAAAGATATTCATCGAAATTGTTAATTGTGTCAAAAGTTAGAGAAAATCGAACAAATAAAAATGGTAGCGTCAAAGAAAGATAAAACTAAAACGACTACATCAACGGTTGTTACACGGCCACCAGCACGGTCTGGTCAAACGCAGCAATCTCAGGTTTGTACACACACTCATTCACTCCCATTTACTAGGTCTATTTTTGTTTTTATTTTTTTTTCGACAAAAAAAAACGATTTTTCAGCGAGTAATTCAATCCGAAGTGATCATCAAATTTTCAAATGAACGACTCTTTTTTTTTATTTTCATGTGTCAATTATCGCGTTGCGTGTATGCCGGGTGAACCGAAAAAAAAAATCGAGCAGTCAACAACAACATCGTCGTCGTCTTCGAAAACGACATCGACGTCGAGCACAACAAAATCGACGAGTGAATCGAAGACGGTGAGTCAATCGACGATGTCAGGCGGTGGACAGGGTTCGAGTGTGGTAATATCGGAGGTACATTCGAATATTGGTTCCGTTGATGATGGCACATTGAGAGGTTTGCAGACACAGTATGTGGTCACGCAACCGGAAAATGTGCAACAGCCGCACAAACCGAAGGAGCATTACATTTTCGGTGGCACACAAATCGTTGAGGTGGGCACAACAATGGGCGGCGAAAAATTGGCCCGTGAGAAAAATCAAAGCACTTGGAATGGAAAATTTGTGTATGAAAGTGCTGCACCCGAACGTACGGTCACTAAATCATGGACAAAGCAATCAACATCCACCGATCCGAGTACTGCCACCGTTACGACAACCACAACAAAGGAGGAGATTGTGAAAAGTGGCACCGGTGGATCGACAGTAAAAACTGACGTGACAACGGAATCCTCGAAATTGGTGAGCGATACGATGAAAAAGCAAAGCGATACGAGCCAAGTGAAATCCGCAAAATTATTCGATACGCGAAGCGGCGGAACAGATGTCACGGATAATGCCAATGCAACCGATTTGTTGCTCGAATCCGAACGATGCATCGCCAAGAAAGCCTATATAACAACCAATAAAGATGAGGATAAAGTGTCTTCGAGCTCCACATCGAATATTGATAGTCAAATCCTTTCGAATAAATCACTATTCGATACGACGTCGAATAAATCACTATTCGATACGACGACAAAAACCACGAAACATGACTCAAAAACCGATACAAAAACCGACACAAAATCTACTGATTCGAAATACGACCACCATCGAATATCCGGCTCAGATCGTTATCCCATTTCAACTGTGCCATCACGTTCGACCAACGTCCAGGACACAAATATCACGTCCAGTTCATTGGTCAAAGCGAACGATGCTTCCAATCGTTATTCCACTGAGCAACATTCGCAGAGCTTTTCGACGTCGTCGCGCACCGAACGAGCCAGCGCATCGAACAAAGTCGTTGAAATCGTGGACGGAAAGGAGCGCATTGTGTCTGATACGTACAATGAAAGCGGTTCACAGCAAATGAAAAGCTCACAAGAGAAATACAAAGCGAAACACGGAACGGGCATCACACCCGTAGTGGAGTACGATCAAAAGATGGCCGAAGAGAATATCAAATATGCCACTGATAAACGTGATAAAGAGCCGATTTTCGATCGTGACTATCGTGATTCGGAACGTCACATCAAGCAAACCGGTGACAATGCACCGGTTGAATATGTGAAAGGTAGCTACGAAACGACGCGTTACGACGACAAAACCAAGAAATACGTCACCGATGCACGTCATCATCAGAACAATCGGCTACTTGACCATTCTAGCCGCACAACCGATTCCATTCAATCGAAATATGACATCGAAACGTCTCGCCTCAACTATGACAATTCAATGACCAACAATCAATTAACTCAATCCACATTCGATTCAAATCAAACGAAATCGTTGCGTGATTCAAACATCAAAACGACATTCGATTCCAGCACATCGTTTGATTCAAATACGAAAAATGTCTACGATTCGAATATAAAATTTGATTCAAATGTAGACGATTATGCATTGTCAAAGACATTTACTGACAATGTTTCATCATCGACAACAAAAACAGCAGCAAATGATTTCATTCGCACGGCAAAAAGTGATTCAATTGATTCAAAATCCACGACCTACACTTCAAAAGTATTTGACAACAAAACAAATACATGGAAAGTTGTAGACGAATCCAGCACCGCAGAGATGAATAAGCATTCGACCACGCACAAACCGAGCGACATTGATCACCCGCGTCGATCACCAACCAAGTACATCGATTCCACATACACGAGCGAAACGAACAAATATCTCGATAAAAATAATGTTGCCACCACCAGCAGCAGCACCACCAACATTGATACGGTCAACACATCGAAAACAACGGATCGATCGAAAACATTGAACGATAAGAGAACGTCAATTGATAAAGTATCGCGTACAACCGATACAAAATCCATGACAAAAACAACCGATGACAAGGTGTCACAGCATCTATATGATGAGAAAACGAAAACTTGGCGCGAAGTGGATGAGAAAACGATCAAATCCAAGCGTCCATCGCTTATTCGGTATGTGAGCAAAGATAATAAGGGTAAATTCACCACAATTTACAAGCGAAAATTGTTCGACAAACGTTCGGGCACTTGGAAGGTGGTCGACGAAAAAGTTTATCGCAATAACAATTTCAACGAGCACATTCCGGAGGTGATTGAAGATGTAACCAATGTTACAACCACCACATATACGACCAAAGTGTTTGACACCAAAACTAACACATGGCGTGTCGTGGACGAACAAACATTCACCGATAGCAATACAACCGTGCCAAAAGACATTGCCGACGAAATTGCTCGCGATCAACCGGACATCGCAAACATCACAACCACTACCGAACTCACCAAGGTAAGTGAGAAATTGCTACCAATTTGGTTTTTCATTTTTGCGTTTCTTTTTTTCTCTCTTAATTTTCAATTTCAATGCATTTTAAATGAACGAAGTGAGAAAAAAATTCACAACTCTTGTGCTAAACGCTCGCTGTTTGTGGGTGCGCGCGCGCGCGCAACGAGTATTGCTTCTGAGGTGTGCTTACGTAATCTTGATCGTTGCTTATTTTAATTTGCGGCTATTTTAAATCGCGTATAAAATGATTAAATTAAACGTTCGTCAGGAAGCAAATAATCATAATCATCGTTTCGAGAGGCAGAGAGTGAGCAAAGTTAACGCGCGATTCAAAAGACAAAAAAACCTTCGCCACAATATTCAACTTTGTTGTGTTTGTGTTGTCATCGTTCAGCAATGAATGCATTCAAATCGCGCAACGAATACAAATTGAATGCGCGCACGCGCGCGTGCGAGAGAAGGCGACACAGTGAACGAATGAATGAAACAAACAATGGCAATAATTATGATCGATGTAGCAGAGGATTAAACACACTGGCTCATTTAAATGTCAATTCCAAAAGGTATTAGGCAACGTTTGTGGTAGGATCCAAATATTCGGGTCGAATTCCCTCGGTTAAGCTCGATTTCAATCATTATTTACTCGAATTCAATTGATTTGCTTTCAACTGCCATCCACTTCAGCCAAACACATACACTATGGCAGTACTTCAGTTAATGTTTGGCTCACATTTGCTCTTGATTCGGTTTCATTGTAATTTATTTTTTCGTTTTCAATAAATGAAATTATTTCACTAGAATGTAGTAAATTTTGTTTGGTATTGAAATCAATATCAACCTTGAGTGCGCTCTGTTCAACATAGAGAGCGAAAATAAACGCACGAAAATTCAGTAGAATCATTTGTTAGTAGCAACATATGCGCACTGTGCGCACTGCGCGTACTACAATCAACGATCTGATCAGACAATTGTTCAATGTACACACTGAAAAAACACCGAAAACTTTGATGTGGAAACGAATTGAAAAAAAAACAAAGAGAGACCGAAAAAAAATAGATAAATTCGGACAAATGCATGAAGCTCGGAACGTCATGCAAAACTCGCCGAACGCGACAGCGGCAAATGATCATTGTCTCTGTTTAATTCGTTTGACATTGGTACAATGGCAGGTTATTTAATAACAATAACATTCGGCATTGCTCTTCTCGCGCACATAACCGATAGATATACCGAATGTCGCTTGCGATGTCCCATTGAAACTGGCGTCCAAAATGTATACATACTTTTTTGTTCGACTCTTTCGCTTTTTCGTTTGTCTGACCATTTGCGCGATGCACAGAAATTAAAACGAATGTTTATTCTCAGGGCTGTTTTTATTGTGTGTTTGCAACTGTAGCCCAAAAACCGAGGACATGAACACAATTCTGCGCTGATGCTAAGCCACTATAACAACTGTTATAAAATTCAATGTCTGAGGTCAAAAATAAATACCGACTGGAGGAGACGCGAAGTGAAAAAGAGAAAAAAAGCGCCAACTCATTCAATCCGCTCGACCGATTGCTGTGTTTTGATCATTAAATTTGATCCGTTTGAATATTCACAGATGAGTTTTGAGTTTTCTTCTTTCCTTTGGCTGAAGATTCTACAGTGTAGATTCAGTGAAGAAGAAGAGGAAGATAAAAAAATTAAGAAGAAGCGAATTTGTATGGGTGAGATTGAGAGTGGAGTATGTTTTTTCTTCGATTTATATTTTTGAAAAGGCGAGTATGTTTTCTGATGATTCTGTTGGCGTTAAAGTAGAGTATGTTGTAGTACCGTCTAGCCTCCGCGGTCTTCATGGTTTTCGCGCAACTGATAAAAGATAACAACATAGTGTCTTCGGCAAAGTTGTAGTACTTGAGGTCTTCTCTAACTAAGATGAAGACAGTTATCTCTTATCTCTTATCAGTTGCGCGCAAATCGCGCACATAAAAAAGCAAATTTTATATAGAACTTTTTTTTTCTTATCATTTTTCGCGCTTTTCGCGGAACTGATAAGAGATAAGAGATGACTGTCTTCAGCAATGTTATAGGAGACCTTGAGTGCTACAACTTTACCGAAGACACCAAGTTGTTATCTCTAATCAGTTCCGCGGAAACCGTGAAAAACCGCGAGGACCCGCTAAAAACGAACATACTCGCTTTTAACCATTTTTAAGTCGACAGAAACTTGCTCTTCTCTTTCGTAACAAAGTCAATCAAACATACACTACTCTCAATCTCACCCATAGATTTGTTTTGAAGGAGAAAAAGACGAAAAAATGCACAAACATTTGAAAATGTAATTGAAATTGGAAAAAAGAGAGAGAAAATATGCTTTTGAAGCTTTTTTCAGAGAGAGAGAGAGAGAAGGGGTACTGTAATAAAGTACAATTTCCTCCATTTTCCCCCCAATCAATTTCAGATATTTGACGCTAGTACAAATACATGGAAGATAGTTAACGAACGCTCGCATACGGATTTTGTGGAGAAAATTGTTGAAACGCCACGCGAAACCATCATCATCGATGACATCACCGACATCACGAAAATCAAAAGCATCAACGATCGCACCGAACGAACGACCGACATTACCGACATCACTGACATCAATCGTGTGAAAAACACCATCAATCTTCATGAAACCGAAGAGAACATTCTCCGGGAAGTGACCAAGGAAAATTTGGTGGTAAGAAAAAAACAACAACTAAATAATACCTTTGATTAAATATAATAATTATAATTCAAGTTAAAAATTTCAAATAGAAAAGAACAAAATGTGCATACATTTCAAATAGCGAGAGAAGAAAAAAAACTTGTGAAGTGACAGCAATTTCAAACTGAGTTCAATCATTTTTTTCCTTTTTGAAAAAACACATTTGTGTTTGAAGCGCGAAAGAATTCACATTGGCCATATCTCTGGGCCATAAAAAAATTGTAAAGTGACAAATAGAAAGTACGAACGGAAAACAACAACAACAGTACACATTACCGTATTGAATATGGTTGTTTATTGAGAATTTCGATCGAGCGGCATTAATACAACGAAAATGCTATAAATTCGTCATCGGTCTCTTAATTGCACAATATTGTGGATTCGATTCGTTTTTTTTTTCTTCATTCTCGCTGTTCAACAATTCGAAATTGCAATAAATATTCGCTCACGTTTTTTGTGTCTGTGTATATTTCAACCTACGACAATTGTCGTCCGAATTCAAAACGAAAGCAAATCAGTCTAAAAACAAGTCGCAATAGCTCACAAGCACAGAGCTCTCTTTCACACACAAATTGCCAATTTATTATACAATTGAGAGTGCTTGTTGTTGTTGTTGCTGCTACTGTTGCTTCTCCGTCTTCATGCTCATTTCCGCCAATTCAGACGTGGAGACGTTTGCCGTTAATGTATTTGTTGTGGATACGTTAGCAGTCCACAAAAACGATTACATTGAAATCAAATGGCAAAAATTGATGATGATGATGATGATGATTGAAACAAAATGAGAAATGTAAATGCGTTTAGTATTCGCATATCTATGCACATATGGCTTTAATTTCAGTTGTTGCTCTTTTTTATTTATTATATTGGTTTTTCACACTTTTTTTCATTTTCTCTTCTCTCTCTCCATTCTTGCACTCGTATTTCGTTCGGTCTGTGCGTGATTTGAACACAGAACGAGTCACTAGATGTGGTTGATCGGACACTGAATACACGGGATGACATCATCACCACCACGACCAAGCTAACCAAAACAACCAAAGACGATGCTGGTCCACGTAAGCAACCGGTCGACGACGGCAAAAAACCGAAGAAACCGAAACCAACGGCCGCAGAAAATGAACTATGCGTATGCGAACTGTGTGTATGCGGGTGAGAAAATGCACATTCAATTCATTATTTTTTTTCTACTATTTATGTGAACTTTGAATCGAAAGAGAAGAACAAATAGCAATGAATGCTCATTTATACGCGAAATCGGTCGACGTTGTCGTTGCGACAACGACCGCAGACGGCCCGATGAATATCAAATGAATTTATGCCTTCAAAATATAAATGACATACTAAAGTGGTCATAACTGTGCTGTATGCACTTGCGTCGCGCAAAATGTATGCCATCATTTATTAGCCAATTCAATTAAATGTTCGATGTAATTTTTCTCTCTCCGTGCTGCCCATGCCCATTCAGTTTCGATTTATTGTGATTGATTTTTTTGCTGTTGTTGTGTTCAAAGAGTTCATTTTGGCTGACCTTCTACTGGAAAGAGTCTTTACGCGCGACACACAAAATGAACATATGTTCACAACAATATCGAGCCTATCTCCGGGCGTTTGGCATACACGCAACGACGACGACGACAAAAGAAAAAACAACATGAACTTTCAACGAAAAATTCTCAGAACGATGAGCTCTGGTAAACGCCTATGAAAACTGATATATTTTTTTCCAATCGCGCGTTCTATTGATTTTATTGTCCACATTGTTCATTTTTATCCACATTGACACATTTTGTTTTCAACTCGTCTCAAATGTGTCTCAAAACTGGCACTCAAATTAAATCACATACACTAGAAAGCAAAGAAAATAGACGTTAAACACTTAAAAAAGGGGGTAAACTATTGTGGCTAAGGATACTTTTCTCTCTTTTCACTCTCTATTTTCGGTCTGTATTATTCATTTACGAACTTTGGTGGATTTTATATACGATTTTTAAGTGATATCGCGAGGTTCACAAACAAACCGGTGACTGACTGAATTTTTGAATTGTCCATTTTAGACGTCATCGTTGTACTCACAGCACCACAACGGACAACACATTCATTGAAAACGTAACGAACACAATGGAAACGACATCGGCTTATCGCAAAGATTTCATTGATAATCAAGTGACAAACTTTGATACGATACGAACACCCGTTAAAAAGCCCGTCGATCATCTTAAACCCGAAGGTGATATCGAATTCACCGATAAGAAGCCATACAAACCGGCTGAAAAGGTTGTCGCAACCAAACCACAAGATAATCTATTTCTATCTGGTGAATTCAACGGTAAGTTTATGTCTCTTTTTTCTGTTCTTATTTTTGCACTACTTGAGTCATGTTGAAATCGACAATGTTGTTGTTGCGGTTTTTCTTTCTTTTGTTATTAACTTTTGTAATTGATTTGTTTATATCAAAATGTGTGTTTTTTTAATTGAATTTTTTCTTTCATTTTGTAGATATCACGACAACGAAAACCGATTTCATCGAACAAACCGTTGAACGTGCCTCGCCAGTGCGACGAAATACGTGGACTAAATTGGAAGGTGATTTAACCACGACAACCACATCACAAACGGAATTCATCGATCACAAGGATACATTTGAGCGGACAACTATTACGAAGAAGAAAGACGATAATTTGATCATGGAAGGTGATACGGACTTTAAGACAACCAGCCAAACGGATTTCATCGATCAGGAGATGGTGTATCAACGACCACGTAAACGCACTTGGACTAAAGACGATTACGATAAATTCCATCACCAAACCGATGAAAAGACATTTGTGCGCACAAGTGAAACTTCGTATCAACCGGCTGAACGTCCAAAAGCAGTCAAGCCTCAAGACAATTTGCGACCGAATGAAGGTGACTTCGTTCGTCCAGAGAAAACGAAGTTCATTCCGGCTGAACGTCCACAACAAGTGCGGCCGGAAGATAATTTGCGCCAAGATGGACCATTCTTTACGCCAGAGAAAACGCAATTCCAACCAGCTGAACGACCAAAAGCAGTCAGGCCTCAAGACAATCTACGACCTGATGAGGGAGACTTCGTTCGTCCAGAGAAAACGAAGTTCATTCCGGCTGATCGGCCACAACAAGTGCGGCCGGAAGACAACTTGCGTCCAGAAGGGCCATTCTATACACCGGAAAAATCAGAATTCAGACCAGCTGAACGACCGAAGGCAGTGAAACCTCAAGATAACTTGCGACCCGACGAAGGTGACTTCATTCGACCCGAGAAAACAAAGTTCATTCCGGCTGATCGGCCACAACAAGTGCGCCCTGAAGATAACTTGCGCCAAGAGGGACCATTCTTTACGCCAGAGAAATTACAATTCCAACCAGCTGAACGACCAAAAGCAGTTAGGCCTCAAGACAATCTACGACCGGATGAGGGAGACTTCGTTCGACCAGAGAAAACGAAGTTCATTCCTGCGGAACGACCACAACAAGTACGCCCGGAAGATAATTTGCGTCAAGAAGGGCCATTCTATACACCGGAAAAATCAGAATTCAGACCAGCTGAACGGCCGAAGGCAGTGAAACCAACCGATCAGGTACTTGTAATTCATGACAAACCACTTGATAAATGTTCTGTTTCTTTGTCATCTGATAAAGTTCGATTGCTTTGAATTTCGTTTTCGAGTAATGAGTCATTTCTGTAAAGTAATGCACGATACGACGTAATCAATGATTGTTCCATTTTTTTTTGGGCGTATTCCGTCTCCTTTTGACAATACCTTTTTATTTTCTTAGATGTATTTGGAAGGCGAGTTCTATACTCCGGAGAAACAGAAATTTGTTCCAGCTGAACGTCCACAACAAGTGCGCCCGGAGGATAATTTACGTCAAGAGGGACCATTCTTTACTCCAGAGAAATCTGAATTCAGACCAGCTGAACGTCCGAAGGCTGTGAGACCTCAAGATAATTTGCGCACCGATGAAGGAGACTTCGTTCGCCCTGAGAAAACGAAGTTCATTCCGGCTGATCGGCCACAACAAGTGCGCCCTGAAGACAATTTGCGTCAAGAAGGAACGTTTTACACTCCAGAAAAAACGCAATTCCGTCCAGCTGAAAGACCAAAAGCCGTTAAACCTGAAGACAATTTGCGTACCGACGAAGGAGATTTCGTTCGACCAGAGAAAACGAAGTTCATTCCGGCTGAACGGCCACAACAAGTGCGCCCTGAAGACAATTTGCATCAAGAAGGAACGTTTTACACTCCAGAAAAGACGCAATTCCGGCCAGCTGAGCGGCCAAAAGCAGTCAAGCCTCAAGACAATTTGCGTACCGATGAAGGAGACTTCGTTCGACCAGAGAAAACGAAATTTGTTCCAGCTGAACGTCCACAACAAGTGCGACCAGAAGACAATTTGCGTCAAGAAGGAACGTTTTTCACTCCAGAAAAAACGCAATTCCGTCCAGCTGAAAGACCAAAAGCCGTTAAACCTGAAGACAATTTGCGTACCGACGAAGGAGATTTCGTTCGACCAGAGAAAACGAAGTTCATTCCGGCTGAACGGCCAAAAGCTGTTAAACCCGAAGATAATTTGCGTACCGATGAAGGAGATTTTGTTCGACCAGAGAAAACGAAGTTCATTCCGGCTGAACGACCACAACAAGTACGCCCTGAAGACAATTTGCGTCCAGAAGGGCCATTCTATAAGCCAGAAGATGGTCGACCAACTGGTAAATAAGCAAATTATAATAATCAATATCGAAATGCTAAAATCAATTTCTTTCATATTTCCAGGACCATGTGAAAAGCGTTCACCAATCAAACATGACGATAATTTGAAACAGACTGGTGAATTTTACACTCCTGAGAAGCCACAGTACAGACCAGCCGAGCGTCCAAAACAAGTGAAACCAACGGATTCGTTGAAACTCACTGGCGACTTCATCACAGTCGAAAGAACCGAATTTATTCCAGCCGAAAGACCACAACCAGTCAAACCAGTTGATCAGGTGAATATTATTGCATTCATCGATTTTGCATTTTTTTTAGTTCGAAATGTTCAAATTGTTGAATATGTTCGTTTAATCAAAGAAATGTTAGAACTGGTAAAAACGATTGTTATCGTTGAATTGTTAACGATTCTTTTGAAGAATTCACAGAGAATTTTGGAGTTCGTTTTTGTTAAACAATCACTTTAATCGTTTCAGATACAACTTGAAGGTGATTTCTACACTCCTGAAAAGCCAAAATTCATTCCTGCTGAACGTCCACAACAAGTGCGCCCTGAAGACAACTTGCGCCAAGAAGGAACATTCTACACTCCAGAGAAAACGCAATTCCGGCCAGCTGAACGGCCAAAAGCTATTAAGCCCGAAGACAATTTGCGTACCGACGAAGGAGATTTTGTTCGACCAGAGAAAACGAAATTCATTCCGGCTGAACGTCCGCAACAAGTACGCCCTGAAGATAACTTGCGTCAAGAAGGAACGTTTTACACTCCAGAAAAAACGCAATTCCGTCCAGCTGAAAGACCAAAAGCCGTTAAACCCGAAGATAATTTGCGTACCGATGAAGGAGACTTCGTTCGTCCAGAGAAAACGAAATTCGTTCCAGCTGAACGTCCACAACAGGTGAGACGTGAAGATAATCTCAAAATGTCTGGTGAATTCATTACGGTGGAGCGAACCCAATTCATACCGGCTGAACGGCCACAGCAAATCAAACCGGAAGACAATTTGCGTCCAGAAGGACCGTTTTACACACCAGAGAAACCACAATACAGACCAGCCGAACGCCCGAAACAAGTGCGGCCAGAAGACAATCTACGTAACGAGGGTGATTTCTATCAACCAGAAAAGACTGGTCCAACTGGTAAGCGAATTTCGAATGAAGTAAAACGTTGAGCTAAGCAAATTTTACAAAGACTCAGAATAGCTACAAAAAATTACATGAATCATTGAATCGCTTTAGAATGTTTTTGCAAAAAAAAAAATTTGTTCTCTACTTAACTTCAAAAAAAGAAGCTTTCAAGAGCACAAGCAAAAAAAGTTTGAAATAGGAGCAAAGTTCAATTGATTGAAAAATATTGATAATTCAAACTCGTTTCATTTATTCTGGCTTTTAACCCTTTTTGAAATTTTAATATTAATACATTCCACTCGTCGTTATCAGGTCCTTGTGAAAAACGTTCACCGATTCGTCATGACGATAATCTTCGCCCTGGCGAAGGAAAATTCGAAACACCGGAAAAACCGAAATATATTCCAGCCGAACGTCCAAAGCAGGTTAAGCCAAAAGACAACATAACCACATCGGTCGATACTTTTGAACAACGCACGGAAATCACATACACACCAGCTGAAAGACCGAAAGCATTCAAGCCAACCGATCAGGTATTTATTAAAACTTTAGTTCAGCATTAATGCTCAATATCAATTTGGATAGAAATGTTCATTGATTTAACTGGAAAAGGATTTTTTTTTGCGAAATAGAAGAAAGAACAGAAAAAGTAAAGCGCACATAAAAAGGGAAAGTAAATTAATGAAAGAAAATTAGGGCAAAATGTGTGTATTGTTGCATTCAAAGAGTTCCACATGCGAATTATGCATAATAATTAAATTGCACACACGTCAGCGAAACGTCACCATAAATATGTGGCAAAATTGTATTTACGGCTTGAGCTTGCATTGTAATTCAGTAATCAACCAAACTCATTTTGTAATGGAGGCGAAATTTTTTTCATCGACACACATTTTTCAATTGGTGATTTTCACTGACCTTGACTCTTTCTATTGAGGGTATTTTTTGCAAACGAATAGATCTTACTAGAGATTCAGAGAAATTTTTTTGTTGGTTTTTTTTTTGTCTTTTTGCGTGCGATTTTTTCTGTTTTGAAAGAAAATTAGTTTATTTCTTAGATTTTAGTGGTTTCTGCTTCTTTTTGTAGTCAAAAAGCTCTTGTGGTTTATTCAAAATTTTGACTTGTGTTATTTGAAATTGTTCAAACTCTTACGTTTTGATTGTTTCTTAAACTAATTTATGAATTGTTCAAAATGTTTATTTTAGATTCATTTGGAAGGTGAATTTTATTCGCCCGAAAAGCCGAAATTCACTCCAGCTGAAAGGCCACAACAAGTGCGCCCTGAAGATAACTTGCGTCAAGAAGGAAAATTCTACACGCCTGAAAAGCCAGAATTCAGACCAGCCGAACGACCAAAAGCCGTTAAACCCGAAGATAATTTGCGTACCGATGAAGGAGATTTCGTTCGTCCAGAGAAGACAAAATTCGTTCCTGCCGATCGTCCACAGCAAGTGCGACCAGAAGACAATCTCCGTCAAGAGGGTACATTCTTCACGCCAGAGAAACCCGAATTCCGACCGGCAGAACGACCGAAGGCTGTTAAACCTCAAGATAACTTGCGTCCAAACGAAGGCGAATTCCAACGTCCAGAAAAGCCGGAATACGTTCCAGCCGAGAAACCAAAACAAGTGAAACCCAAGGATAATTTGAAACAAGAAGGCGCATTCTATCAACCAGATAAAACCGTACCAGTTGGTAAGAACGTGAATCAATTCATGATGCTTGTAAAAATCACTTTTCTCAATCATGACGGCATCGATTAGCTTCGCAAAAATGTGAAATTGCTTCCAAAAATAGTACCTAAAACAATCAAATTTTGATTCGTAGAAAAATTAAGAAAAACTGGGCTTGCGAACAATATTTGGCAATGCATTCATAATCTTTATTGAATTGGAATAAATTTACTAAATTTGAGTAGGTTAAAATTTGAATCTTTGAAAATACCTAAAGTAAATCGATTGCTATTGTAATTGCAGGACCGGCTGAAAAACGTTCACCGATTCGTCATGACGATAATCTTCGCACTGGCGAAGGAAAATTCGAAACACCGGAAAAACCGAAATATATTCCAGCCGAGCGACCAAAGCAGGTTAAGCCAAAAGACAACATAACCACATCGGTCGATACTTTCGAACAACGCACGGAAATCACATACACACCAGCTGAAAGACCGAAAGCTGTTAAACCACAAGACAATTTGCATCCTGATGAAGGCGATTTCGTTCGCCCCGAGAAAACGAAATTCATTCCAGCTGAACGTCCACAACAAGTGCGGCCGGAGGACAACTTGCGCCAAGAAGGCGCATTCTTCACTCCTGAAAAGCCACAGTACAGACCAGTTGAACGGCCAAAGGCGGTTAAACCAGAAGATAACTTGCGACCGAATCAAGGCGAATTCCAACGGCCCGAAAAACCAAAATACGTTCCAGCCGAAAAACCGAAACAAGTGAAACCGAAAGACAACTTGACGACGGGACAAGGTGAATTTACTGTGCCTGAAAAGACACAACCAAGAGGTGAGTTTTTGGCTGAAACTAGAGCAGTTTTGAATAAAAATTCACTTGATCGTCATCAAGTATGATTGAGATAATTTTACCAGATATGTTAAATTCTTTAAACTTTTGAAATATTTTACATGGAAACGTTTAAATTTCAACAGAATACGACGTGTACGATCAAATTTAAGAACAAACGCGTTGAAAACCCAATCAAAATGTTACTTAAATAAAACAATTCCAACATTCAATTCACTTTCACAGGTCCAGCCGAAAAACGAACGCCAATCAAACATGATGACAATTTGAAGACGGGCCAAGGAAAATTCGTAACTCCTGAAAAGACGAAATATCAACCAGTCGAACGACCAAAGCAGGTTAAACCAACCGACAATTTGAAAACCGGTCAAGGTGAATTTGTCACCCCGGATAAAGCAAAATACGTTCCGGCTGATCGTCCAAAACAAGTTAAACCGACGGACAATTTGAAAACAGGCGAAGGAGATTTCGTTACACCAGAAAAGAGTAAATATGTTCCAGCCGATCGGCCCAAACAAGTCAAGCCAACGGATAATCTCAAAACGGGTCAAGGCGAATTTGTTGTTCCAGAGAAAACGCATCCAAGAGGTAGGCACATTTTCTGCATTCAAAATTTTCTTCTGCATTCATTTCAATTTTGAATTTAATGAAAAAAAAAACTTAAAACGAAAAATTTCATTCAGTTACTCAAGAGAAGATTGTTCTATTCATAAATTTGTGAAAGAAAAATCTATCAAAACAAAATATTTCTTTAAAAAAAAAAACTTTGTTCATAATTTCCCGCAGGTCCAGCTGAAAAGCGTACACCAATCAAGCACGACGACAACTTGAAAACGGGAGAGGGCAAGTTTGTTACTCCCGAGAAGCAGAAATATCAACCGGCCGAGCGTCCAAAGCAAGTTAAGCCGCAAGACAATCTCAAGACGGAAGGACCGTTTGAAAAGCCAGAGAAACCTGGATTCCGGCCAGCCGAACGAACAAAACCAGTGAAACCGGTGGACAATTTGAAAACCGGTCAAGGTGAATTCGAAGGAAGACGCAAAACAGACACCGTTCACACGCGAGTCGATCGTGTTGTGGTTAAAAAACATACCGATCAAATTACGTTGAACGAAGGCAAAATGGAAACGGATACCACCAGTTCGACAACGTTCAAAAAGCAACCGGTGCAACGAAACGTGGTTGAGGATATTGTGAAGAAGCAAAAGATGCGATCGAACATAACGCTTGGTGATGATACAACCATTCTACGGACGACCAATCAAATGAACTTCAACACGGTTACAACACGCAAAGATGAACGCGTCGAAAAAACGACCGATGTTACCGATACGGATCGCATTCGTGATGGAACCATTGCAATCACAACGATGAAAGTGACAACGGTGCTGGAGAATGAAAAGGATCACACACCAATCAAGGAGGTGATTCGCAAGGCTGGCAAAACGAACGTTCGCGAAGAAGTCGTACATCAAACGTCCGGCTCTGATGTTATTAATCGCCAGAATATTGTGAACGAACAGCATCACATCAATGAGATAAACCAGAATGTGGTGAACAAACGGTACGTTGTCAACCAGCACGATGTGAACAATTTGCAGAGCATTGAATCGCGCAAGACCACAAATCAATCGCAAATTACATCGGATGATCGAAATACGGCCAGCACAACAACGCATCGCACAACGAGTGATACACGCGTTTCTGGCCCAGGTCCTCACAAAGGACCACAACAAGCACCGGCACAAGTGAATGGCACAACTGTTACACGGGCTGTGAATCAACATCATCAATCGTCGAACATAATTTCCAATCAAAACGATCAAAACATCGTGAATCGTTCAACCACCAAACATACGACAGAAACGACCGATCGCATCGGTTCAACGGTTCGCACCACCTCATCGGGCTCGAATGTGGTGACAACACGCGATGGCAGCACAAAGCATCAACCAGTTGATCAATATCATCCATCGGGTGGATCGCAAAATGTTATCGTCGAACGTCATGTGATAACACAAACATCACCAATCGGCCGTCAACAGCATCAGCACCATCACAACACCTACGAAACGGTTGAGAACATGCGCAATGTGTCGGATACTGGTTCAAGTTCAAAGCAAATGACCACCAGTCAAACGGATCGTACATCAAGCTCCACACAGCGCAGCAATCAAATGACAAGCACCAGCCAACGTGGTGGTGTCGGTGGCGATACAAGTGAAAATGTTGTCTACGAACAGCGAACAATCGTTACATCAACACCGATCAAAGGACGTCAACAGAATTACGCATCGGATATTTTGAATATTCAAGACACCCGTTCGGGTGGAAAATCATTGGCATCCACATCACAGTCGGATAAAATCAATAATCAATTGCATTTGCGACAGCACGACAACGCTTCCATGAATACAATGTCTTCGACATCGTCAACGACCACCACTCGTTATGGTAAAACGAGTTCTGCACACAATTCAACATCAAACATATCGAACATCATTCACGACCACGGTAGCCAATCACCTCTTCATCGTTCCAGCATAACAACAGCGGAACGTCAACAACGACGCGATTATGTACAGGATCATGGTAATGAAGGCCATAGCATCGTTGGCAGCAGTAGCAACACCACCAACAACACTCATCATCGAAAGAATGTATTGACCTCATCGACCGATGTGAATAACTCCGTTTTCCATCGCAAGGCCAATTTGTCGACCAATTCAAATGAAGCGCTGCATTCGAACAGCATGAGCTCAACGGCAGCCATTCAACGGAAGAGCATCTCAAATTTGCATGATCAAGCCATTTACAATACGTCATCGGATCGCAAGAGTTACAGTTCGTTGCATCGTCAAGGGAAAGAGACAGTATCACACAGCACCAGTAGCTCAACCATCAATACACAACAGCATGGTGGTGGATCCACTTCACACACGTACAGCAGTACTCATGTGGTGGGTGGCAGCAGCAATAGCGGCGCCGGCGCCAACAACCAATTACGCCAATCCTCATCGACGACGGGCACACCAGCTGAACGTGCACAGAAAATTGTGAAAAAAGACAATCTGTCATCGTCGATGGGCGGCGAATTCTACGGTAAATCCGAATCAAAAGCATATGGAAGTTTCACATCCGGCCATCAACATCATGTACTCGATCGTTCGGCCGTAGCTCGTCGTTCGAATCAGTCGAGCATCAGTTTTGGTGATGGTCCCAGTCATGGCTCAAGTGTTTATCGACGTGAATATGCGGTAGTCCATTCCGGACCGTGTCCAGCTGCTAACCTCGATAAATCCACATTCACTCACACTCGTGACACAAAATCACACAAATTCTACAAGTCATCACACCAGTAATTGACCACTCGAACTAAACAACAACAACAACAACAACAAAAATTGAATTGTGATCATTGGCATTTCAACACCAATCGAAATCGAGCATTAAATTTGCCTTGATTTGTTTTGTTTAACAGAAGAAGAAGAAGAGGAAAACAATTTGAAAGCAATTTATCTCTATTATTACATTTATTTCTTTTATATATTTTACGTTATTATTTTACCCATTTTTTTCTGTTCATAATTCTCTTCTGTTCACATTACGAACAAATTAGAAAGTTTTACTCAAAAAAATTGAAGGAGAAATACCATTTATACCATTTGTTGATGTGTTATCATATATATGTGAACGAGCAATCAATCAATCAAACGATACGAATTCTAATATTAGATACGATACTAACACAGGGTGCTACAAATTTAAATGGGCCAATTGTTTTGTTTTTATTTTTGTGTTTATTTCCCCCTTTCCACTCGATCCCCGATCCAACCGGATATATGAGCTCAAATTATCCAACCATTTGTTATAATTGCTAAGGAAATTGGCAACGATCGAATCAAATAAACCAGAGAAAGAAAAATCAATTTTTATGTGCCTTTATATGTTAGACTTTTAACTCAAATTTATTTAGAAAAACAAAATATACAATTGTTGACAATGTGAATGAAAAAAAAAAATGAATAAAAACTATCAATAAAACCGCTTTTTCATATACTAATTCGAAGTGTCTTATTTTGTGTTATTACAATTGAAATTCAAATCGTTTTAGACAATTGAGTTGAATCTAGTGGTATGGACATCGCTCTAATTTCTTACCAAAAGACAAGTTGAAAGTAGTTTGCTTCATTATCTGCTAGAAGTACTTGAAATTGTTAATGATCTTTAACGCTCGCTATTTTCATCCGATTTTCGCTTCAAAATGTCAACATTTTCAATCATAAATCCATTTTTTTAAGTGGTTTATCAACATGAATCCGACCCATACTCCAATCGTCATTTTGTCATCAACAAAAAAGAAAACTAGCAGTAATTATCTCCGTATTCGGCGAATGGATTTGCATTCATGCTTTTATTTTTCACCATCTCATCGATGCGCGTTACCAGAATTTTGGGTGGTTATTCGTGATATCCAATATGGTGAGTTTCGGATACGAACACTTAGAAAGACTATACAGTTGCGCAAGGCGTTTTTTACTCAATTTAATTTCTTTCAACTCCTCGAAAACTAACGATATTGAAAAATTCAATTTCGTCAAGTTGTTTTTGGAAATGTCAAAGTAATGCAGCTCAAACCGCAAAGTTTCGAAGGGTTTAACATCATAAATCGATAAGTTGGTGCGTCGTAGCGAAAGCCATGAAATATCCTGGAATCGTTCAAATGTAGTTTCGTTCAATTTCCCCAAATAACTCCCAGAAAGATGCAGATAGCGTAGATGTGATCCCATTGTATGATTTCCGCTGTATTTTCGAAATCGCTGCATAAAAGTCGCCTAACCCATTCAAAGTTTGTGACAGTGAAGTGATATTCAATCGTTTCAATTTGTTTCGTGAAATGTCTAATGTGTAAACTTCGAGCGGATTCCTATCAAAATGCTACAAATGAGTCTCTGACAAACTTAAATAAGCTGCTCGGAACCATTCCAAATTACTCAAAGTTGTCGAAAATAAACTCGTATTCAGTGTTCTTAAATTGTTGTAAGAAATATCAAGATGCTTCAGTCGGTTAAGATGCTCGAAGGGATTCATTTTTTCAACGAATGAGAGGTTTGTTCCACTTAGATATAACCGTTTCAAACTGTTCAAACCATGAAACATTTTCTCATTTATCTTCCCCAACATGTTTCCACTTAAATCCAATTTCCAAATCGTTTCTTCCAACATGTTCACTATGTCTAGCGAGTTCTGTAATCGATTTCCGCGGATAGAGAGTCGACTTAAATTTTTGAAGTTCGTCTTAGGAAGTCGGATCTCATTCTTGCTGTTTGCAATCTTGAAAATCAATTCGTCTTCATTCAATGTCCATTCCATTGGGTTCTCACAAGATAAATCGAACTCATTAATATATTCGGAAGACACGTTTATTGAAGCCATGCCATTCCGTAAGTGTGCTCTCTGAGTTCCATCACATGGAATGATACGTGTGACGGCATATTTTCACACGGAACTTCGTTCCCAGTGCGCCGAACACTTACTATGTATAGAGCGAACGTATCCGAATATTAGAAACCACACGTTATTACATGTAGCTAGTGCTCGTTGCACTGGGAACGAAGTTCCGTGTAAAAATATGCCGTCACACGTATCATTCCATGTGATGGAACTCAGAGAGTAATGTATCCACATTCCACATACATACAACGAGAATTTACTGTGAATCACAGTTTTAAACCAGTTCTATGTTTCGAAGGGATACTGAGGTGTTAAAAGAAATTAAAGCTGACATGTTAGGCCGAAGCCATAATGTGTATTTTGTGTGGAACAATATTGCATAGTATGTGCTTAGTGAATATTCGAAAAAATTGATCAGCGACATCATTGTTCAAAATAAAACACAAATTTTTTACATTTTTCTAATTCAACACAAAACATGTTTCATTTATTTCCAATTCGACATTGTTGAATATACTACAGATGGAATGGGCGCCTCGCCGCAACGGCAAATAATGAGCACATATTTGACGTAAAGTTGTTGTCATTC